AAGATGCAAGCTCCTTCAATACAACAATAAATCAACGAGACTTCAGAATGCATTAAACTAGAAGACTATTATTGCAAATGCAAAATAGGGCTGTCAAACAATTACATTTTTTAATCGAGTTAATTACAGTTTAAAAATTAAATAATCATAATTGCATTTCGAATCTGCAAAATTATGCCATATTTTTCTGTAAATGGTTGTTTGAATGGAAAGATAAATGACAACATGGTGTACATATGTACTGTATTTGTTTATTAAAACAACAATAAATCCACATACAATTATTAAGATTATTTTTGTATTACAGTATTTTTTTCATTTTTGGATCCTATTCATTATTGTGCCTCCTGGTGGTGGCTTGTCGAGGGCTTCAACTATGCTAATCAGTCCAGGCCTGGACTGGGACTAAAAAACCTTTCAAGGTTATTTATATGGTATGTGGAAGCACATCCTGTAGAGGATGTATGTAGTAAGTTTTTTTATTTTTATTTATATACCGCCTTTTCACTGCAGATCTGAGTCTCAAAGCGGTTTACAATTGTTAATTTTGGGCATTTGTCTCTCACTCCACACAGAGATGGGAGCGGGGTCGCCAGTACAGGAGGCGCATGCCAGAATTATTGGACATATTTTTAGTGGTAGGGGAAACCGGAGTACCTGGAGGAAACCTACGCAGACACGGGGAGAACATGCAAACTCCACTCAGAAAGGCCCTGGTCCGACCGGGATTCGAACCCAGGACCTTCTTGCTGAGAGGCGAGAGTGCTATCCACTCAGCCACCGTGCCGAGTATGTAGTTTCAACAATTAAAATAAAGTGCAGTAGTCTATGTTACAAGAGAGTGATAAACATTTCACTGCACAGACTGAGGAAGACTCAAAACTATTGTTTGTTACAGGGATGAGTGACATTTCAAAAAAGTCTGAAATGCAGAATGTCATTAAATCTGTTTGATTTGCTACAACATTTTACTTTTGGGCATAACCAACATGACCTGGTAGTGCAAGGGAAAAATTTGGTACCCCAGCTTTAATTCAGCAAGTTTAAATGCGCTTCGGGAGAATACACGGACACTTCCTTAGGCTCCATAGTTCAGCGTCAGCGGTGTATTTATTGCATGCACAGGTTACGCAAAGACATGAACACAACAAGCAGAGAACAGTTCCGTGGCGTGTATGGTCATGGATATGATCACGTTACGGCGGCGCCGTTCGCCGTGTTGTTGTCAAAGCGGCTCACAGCCGCTGAAGGTGGGAACCGCTGTCCAGAGCGGCTGCAGCTGCCCCGGGTCAGAATACTGCGGCCACGGAGGATGTGGAATCCGTTCTAGTTCATACAGAAAACGGCAAGTGCCCCGTGCATATTCTTTTTAAGCTTGAACTCCCAGAGGACCTACCTGCTCTGTCGCCATCTTACACACGCATGTGTCTGCGGCATTCTGAGTGTTATTATGGGACGCATGGGTTGGTCATTCGGCACATGCATCAAATGCGTTAATTTATTTAACGCGATTAATGAACAAAAATATATATTTTTACATTACTGCAGTGGTTACATTGTACAATCTTATCTTGTTTTGTTCAGCACTTTGAGTTGCTTTGTCTATGAATTGTGCAATACAAATAAACTTTTCTTGCCTACAGGGATAATAAGATCTTTATGTGTGCACTTCTCTGTGTGTATACAGTGCCTTGCGAAAGTATTCGGCCCCCTTGAACCTTTCAACATTTTGCCACATTTCAGGCTTCAAACATAAAGATATAAAAAAAATATTTTTTGTCATGAATTAGCAAGTGGGGCACAATCGTCAAGTGGAACGACATTTATTGGATAATTTAAACTTTTTTAACATATAAAAAACTGAAAAGTGGGGCGTGCAATATTATTCGGCCCCTTTACTTTCAGTGCAGCAAACTCACTCCAGAAGTTCAGTGAGGATCTTTGAATGATCCAATGTTGTCCTAAATGACTGATGATGATAAATAGAATGCACCTGTGTGTAATCAAGTCTCCGTATAAATGCACCTGCTCTTTGATAGTCTCAGGGATAGTCAGGAGATGCATACAAGAGGCCCATGATCACTCTGGATGAACTGCAGATAACTACAGCTGAGGTGGGAGAGTCTGTCCATAGGACAGCAATCAGTCGTGCACTGCACAAATCTGGCCTTTATGGAAGAGTGGCAAGAAGAAAGCCATTTCTCAAAGATATCCATAAAAAGTCTCGTTTAAAGTTTGCCACAAGCCACCTGGGAGACACACCAAACATGTGGAAGAAGGTGCTCTGGTCAGATGAAACCAAAATCGAACTTTTTGGCCACAATGCAAAACGATATGTTTGGCGTAAAAACAACACAGCTCATCACCCTGAACACACCATCCCCACTGTCAAACATGGTGGTGGCAGCATCATGGTTTGGGCCCGCTTTTCTTCAGCAGGGACAGGGAAGATGGCTAAAATGGATGGGAAGATGGATGGAGCCAAATACAGGACCATTCTGGAAGAAAACCTGTTGGAGTCTGCAAAAGACCTGAGACTGGGACGGAGATTTATCTTCCAACAGGACAATGATCCAAAACATAAAGCCAAATCTACAATGGAATGGTTCACAAATAGACGTATCCAGGTGTTAGATAGGCCAAGTCAATGTCCAGACCTGAATCCAATCGAGAATCTGTGGAAAGAGCTGAAGACTGCTGTTCACAAACGCTCTCCATCCAACCTCACTGAGCTCGAGCTGTTTTGCAAGGAAGAATGGGCAAGAATTCCAGTCTCTCGATGTGCAAAACTGATAGAGACATACCCCAAGCAACTTGCAGCTGTAATTGCAGCAAAAGGTGGCGCTACAAAGTATTAGCGCAAGGGGGCCGAATAATATTGCACGCCCCACTTTTCAGTTTTTTATTTGTTAAAAGAATCTCCAGGTCTGTCTAAAGCAGACCTGGAGATTCTTATCCATGCATTTGTCTCCAGTAGGTTAGACTACTGCAATGGCCTGCTCACAGGTCTGTCCAAACAGGCTGTAAAACAGCTGCAGTACATTCAAAATGCAGCAGCTCGAGTCCTGACTAGAACCAGGAAGTACGACCACATTAGTCCAGTTCTCAGGTCTCTGCACTGGCTTCCTGTGGCTCAGAGAATAGACTTTAAAACAGCTCTGCTTGTGTACAAATCTCTCCATGGCCTCGCACCAAAATATATTAGTGACATGTTAGTCCCATATGAACCAGCCCGGACTCTGAGGAGCACAGGGACTGGACTCCTGTTAGTGCCCAGAGTCAGAACTAAACATGGGGAGGCTGCTTTTCAGACTCATGCTGCTAAAATCTGGAACAGTCTTCCTGAAGATGTGAGACAGGCCTCCTCTCTGACAATGTTTAAAACCAGGTTAAAGACAGTTCTGTTTAACTGTGCATACAACTGAGGGATTTTATATTTTTATCTTTCTTTTTAATGTTCTGTGATAATTTATGATTTTAATGCTTTCTTGTTTTGTTCAGCACTTTGAATTGCCTTGTGTATGAATTGTGCTATATAAATAAACTTGCCTTGCCTAAAAAAGTTTAAATTATCCAATAAATTTCGTTCCACTCCACGATTGTGTCCCACTTGTTGTTGATTCTTGACAAAAAATTTAATTTTTATATCTTTATGTTTGAAGCCTGAAATGTGGCGAAATGTTGAAAGGTACTGTATGCATGTATGATTGTCCATTTAAAAAAAAAAAAATCTTGTTAATTGTATTGCACTTTTAAAAGCAAAAATAGACATATTTGTCTTTACGATATGGCAAAAAAGTAATCTCGATTTTATTTCCTGCTTTGCCCAATTTCGATTTAAAAACCGATTTTCACCGAAGACAGACTTTGCCCTTAAAAATATTTGTTGATCTTTCCGCTCGATATACTAAAGTTTCAAATCTATCTATAATTTGTTTCCCCCAATACGTATTATAAAAGTCTTGTACAGACTGTGCTGATTGATTTGATTTTTGCAAAAGCCGAATAATTGCCTAAATTCGATTTATTGCCCAGTCCTACTTTCATCCTCCACAGACGCACCAACAGCAGTAGAACGCAGTGAGCTCTGATGCACTTGATTTGACCGGAGTCCACATTTTAGCTCCGTCTCGCCCCTCTCCTCTGTTTTCTGTTCTACAAAAGACCAGTGACGCTGAGTGCACACAGGATGTGACAGACTGGCAGACTGTGACTCACTGCAGCAGTGTTGGGGGGAAAAAAAACACATTATTTTTCACTCTCCTTGTGTTCTGAAGAGCTGGCTTTGCACAAGAGTCAGTAAAAGCCTCTATAAGGGCTCTATAGTCCAAAACCTTTAGACTTCAATAAACTGATACTTTTAGATGGGGCCAAACGAACCTGTTCTTATATAAGATAAGATAAGCTTTATTGAGCTCACAATGGAGAAATTTACTCCAGGTTGATTTATATGAAATGAGATGGATAACTTTTTGTGAAAAAAATGTGTGTGTGGTTGGAGGCGGTGCTCATATACAGTTGATACCGCGCCAAATATTTCCACTCTCTTCTCGTTCATGTGAAGAATGCCTCTTTGACATGTTAATTCGGTAATTTTTACTCCAACTAATCGGAAACCCCCTTAATGTATTCACCATTACAGTGGGGACACCTGCATTAGAGACCAGATCCTGTCAGATTTTTGAAACTAAGCAGGGCTGGGTCTGGTTAGTACTGTGATGGGAGCCCTTTTATTTGGATAAAATGAGATTTTATCCAAATGTCCTGTTATTTAACTTAATTTTGACTGAGATAAACTTAAGATTGTTTGGGCAAATATAATGAAAATGTAAAGTCAACACTAAGAGTTGTGTTGTGCTGTTGACGACCAGTAGGCTTGACTTGACTTGTACTTTTACACACAAAAAATTGGACAAAAATATTTAAAGTTCAGCCAGTATACGATATAATATTTGGTCCCTATATTGTCGTCTATAAACGTGTCCCTGCTGTCTCCTCAGGGACATCATGATCACTCACTTCGAGCCGTCCATCTCGTTCGAGGGTCTGTACGGAGAGGTGCGGGACATGTGCTCCATGGACAATGACCAGCTCTTCACCATGAAGTGGATCGATGAGGAAGGTATCGATGTTTTTGATGTTACAGAAAAGACCTGGAGAATACACACCTCACACATAGACCGATGCATACCCACTGTTGTTTTATTTTTGTTATTTAATTAATTCACATTTTAGTTGGGGCTGGGCAATAAATCAAATGTAGGCAATTAATTGGCTTTTTGAAAAAAAACAATTTGTGAAAAATTTGAAAATTGTGAAATCGAATGAAGGATATTGTGACTTTCAGCAGCAAATGAATTGTACTTGCGATATCAGCAGTCTGTACAAGACTTTTATGACACATATTGGGTGAAACAAATTAAAAATAGTTTTGAAACTTGAATATTGAGCGGAAAGATCAAAAAATAAAAATCGGAAATAAAATCGGAAATAAAAACGATATTTTACTTTTTTTGCCATATTGCCCAGCCCTAATTTTAATGTATAAAGGGGATTCCATGGTTTCCTCTGTGGTTTAAAACAAGAACTAATATTAGCTTAATGTACTTGCCTAAGTAAGTAAGTAATCTTTATTTACATAGCGCCTTTCACAGACCAGAGTCACGAATCGCTTTACAATTGCTGTGGGCATTTGTCTCTCACTCCACACAGAGATAGAGTGAGAGACCTATTGTACATAATTTTAGTGGTAGGGGAAACCGGAGCACCCAGAGGAAAAACACCGAGAGAGCACACACACAGGGAGAACATGCAAACTCACAGAAGCGGAGGAAAAATCTATTTTGCTCATACAATGTAGATATATTATAATGTAATGTGTCCTTCAAAATGACACTACTTAATAGAGGCTATTATTGTTCCAAGAAGTGTGAAGTTGGTACGTGTAAGGATGCATTATTAAATGTAAGGATGTAAGGATGCATTATTAAAATGAGAAATAACTAATCATACAGCACATTTTACTACTCCTAAGATGAGAGGAAAAAACAGATGGTATGGATCTTTGAGCATTCATGGTTTTGCTTCACTCGGATTTTGATTATAAAATAACATTTTGGGGTGAAAATATTGCTTAATCGACATTTCTGATGAACAATCTATATGCTATTTAGTGTTAAGATTAAAGCCTTGTGTATATTCGTGCAGCATGGAGCTTATGGTGGTGACGTGACCCTTGTGTAGCCTGCCGCGCACCCTCGAAATTGTCTAACTACGCAGCTGACGCCGTAGAGAAGCTCCACTGTGATTGGTCCTTGTGTTTTTTTTTGGACGAAAGCATGGAGTGGCTGCAGGGAAAATGGATGAGGCATTTTGGAGCAGATTGTGCTTTGAAGGAACCGAAGGAAAAGTAGTTTGGGTTCACGGCTCAGAGCCTGTGGAGTCCGCGGAGACTGTGGACTGTTCAGTTCCGTTGCATATCCAACTTATAAACTGTGCAGTCGTCACTTTTGCACTGTTCCTGTCTTTGTTTGGATCTGCACTCGTAGTCTTTTTGCGTCTTTTGCATTCCTCCTGTACTTGTAAGTTCTGTAAAAATGTTTGGTCTTGGATATGTATCACTTATTGTTTCCAACAAGAACTGTCTTTATTCACAGTTAAATGTGTCCATAGAACTATCACATAAACCTGCACTAGATATACATGTAATGAGCTCAAACAGCTTGGTTTGCTAAGGTTTTTGTTCTGAAGAGGAGAAAGTATCTAGTGTAAATGGGACCGCTTTGGTTTCCCAGGCAACTCCTGTGAGATCGCCATCATGTGGTTGAGTGTGGGATTACAACATTATCTTCAAAACTCCACAAGGGGAACGCGCAAGTGTACCAGTAAGACCCCGACTCCACCGGCTGCGTAAAACGTACTACGTATCCGTCCAAACCTGTCCGTTTCATCTCCGTTTCCGTTTTCTCCGTGAGGGTGAATGGAAGTGGCGCCACTGCCCGCGACATGCGTCCGTATAACGCGCGTAGGGAGCATTTTTTACGTACATCGACGCGTGTCTGGTCCGTTTTCCATTGGAAATACAATGGAAAAATATATTTACCACATGATTATACATGTATTGATATATGCTGTCGTCCTTGGTTGTAAGTGTTTGTTAATTAGGGGTCTGACGATATATCGATTTTTCGATATATCACGATACTTTCTCCCGCGATTCGATTATCGATATGCATTTGCCAAGTATCAATATCAATTTTGTAAAAAAAATATATATATTAGTGCTGTCCAACGATTAAAATATTTAATCGCGATTAATCGCATGAATTTCATAGTTAACTCGCGATTAATCGCAAATTAGTCACCCATTTGCGTGCTGTGTGCAATTGCTTTTTTTATTGAAAACAATGTGTAGTGTTATATTACACACTAACATTTGATGCAAAATCATCAATAAATGGATGACAAAATAAATAATTGGTAACAAAAAGCCCCTTCAATGTGTGTGTGGAGTGTGTGTGTTTATGGGTGTGGGTGTGTGTGTGTATGTGTGGGTATAGACCATAGACTGTATAGAAACATCATGGTGTCATTATGATGATGATAAACAATTTTTTTGTAAATTTGTTCATGTAAATACTCTATGCTGTTTCTCTGTTTACTTTCGGTATATCTATGACTGTATACTGTTTGCTTGTATTGCCTTTTTTATTAACCCCTCCCCCCCATCTCCCACTTCATGTCCCCCCCCTCCTATGTGCCCTTCTGGGTTTCTTCTTTGGCCCCCTGTATCTCCAACTACATATTGTTTGTAATCTCTGTCTACAATGTATCTTAACTAGTCCTTTTCTTTGTGTCTATTTTTTTCTGTATATGTGTTTGTCTGCAATAAAAAGTAAAAAAAAAAAAAAAAAATTTTTTTTTTTTTAAATAATTATAAAAAAAATTAATGGCGATAAAAAAAATGACGCCGTTAATATTGATTTGCGTTAACGCGTTAATAACGCGATATTTTGGACAGCACTAATATATATATATATATATTTTTTGGAATTGGTATCAATACTTAATATATGGCTACATTACGCATCTCCATTCTATTTATCATGAAATAAAGAGTATTTTTTCTTTTATTTATGCCTAAAATTGGCATATTGTATATTTCTGACCAATAATCGTCATATCGTGATAAAATTGTTATCGTAATATTGTTATCGTGATATTATCGTTATCGTGAGCTGTGTATCGTATCGTATCATCAGGTACCCTTAGGTTCCCACCCCTATTGTCATTAACAATGATTATTAACAAATGTGTATAATTTATTTTCATGTATTAAATTGAAATAATTGTTTCCTGATTGTAAATCTATCGCGTAATGTTAATATTGATTTGCTTTCAAAAAAGCCTGGATATGTTGGAGTTCTTTTCTCTCCCCTTTTTCCAATTGCTTTCAATAAGTTTTTCCTCATCCATCGCAACGTCCGCGATGCTTCAACATGCCGTGCTTTGCATTGTTCATAGCCACAGCTCATGCAAATCACACACCGCTTCTATTTAAAACAAAGCCTCACAGGGCTGATACACGCACAGCCAGAGCTGCACGCTGCTGAAGCCGGTGTGGCCACTATTCCGTTTTACGGATGTCTGACGGGCAGCAGCCTACGTGCGTAAACGGAGGCGCGGCCGGTGGAGTCCAGCACTAACTGTGGCTGCGTAGGTCCAGCGCAACCGTAACCAGCGCCGTGCGAGTATACACTAGGCTTAAGAGATCTTTTATTCGTCACCCCTCGTGTCGCATCACGAGTTATAGAACAGTAGGAATGAGGAGCACGCAACACAAGTGAATTTAAGTATAGCACAAAAATGTGTTAAATATCAAACGCACTGTAACTGAAACTGACTCTCAAATGATTTCCTATATTTGAATGTGTAGTTACTTCCTTTCAAGAATTGCGTGGAGGAACAAGAGTGATGCCTTCAGCACCGAGCAAGTGATTGAGAGGTGTGGGGTCAGGGTGTTTGTGCTAGTGTCTAGCTACATCAGAGCTGGGTATCTTTCAAAGCCTCCCACTATAATATGTGTCTCTATACTGGGGACGTGGGAATAAGGTTTATCATTTCTAGAATACTAAGATTTTTATTCAGTAAAAAATCTAAACCTTTTTGGCTCCTTATCCCCAAAAATACACTATTGATGCGTTTGTATTTCATTTTTTTTTTTTAGATTAATTGTTATTAAAGCCAAAATATTAACACAAAATATATATATAGTTTATAATGGTTGATTAGTAATAGTGACATAAGAATTATTTTTTGAAAATCTCACAATTTGTTCTTTACCAAGTAGTTTTTTTGAAAAGCCAGATATATTTTAGTGCCATACAAATACAGTTTCACCCATTCTTGTGCTAATTCTTTTGAATTTACTGAAAATAACAAAACATATTGATTTGACATGTGATTACACCCCCCTAGTGTACTATCCTAAAGATAAATTAGTGTACTATTCATATTTTGATTATCTGTGTATGTCGTAAACCCACTCCAACTCTTCCTCTACTTCCTCCTTATAGTAGCTCACAGTAGCCTCTTACCCGTCACTTTCGGGCTGCGAGGCGATTCGCTGGGAACTGTCAGGACCAGGTCAGCCGCTCGGGAGTCATTATCGCCCGCTCACCTGGGCCCCTGCGCCCACGCACCATTACTCCAGTCATTACCGCGTCTGATAAAAGCCACTGATGCCCTCAACGAAGCGCCGTGGTTAGAGAAATCCACCAATGCTCGTGCGCCCCCCATAGAAACAACAGGAGCTGATAGTAATGATGTGACTGGGGTCAATGGCCAGCGGGGGGAGGGCGGACATGTGACCCTCTGCTCCAAGAAGTGCACACGGAAAATAATGAGAATCAACTTTAGTTTGTAGCATGGATGTCTCGCGTTTGAATCGATTATGTCTATAATCTAGAAGTTTTTGTTAATATTTTAAGGACAGTGGTAAAGATTGGGAACACTTGCAGGTGTATATATGTTGTGTTGAGGGATAGCATAGTGAATTTAAATAACAAACAAAAAAAGTTAAGTTAGCTTGGTGGAGTCCAAGTGCACAGCCAATCAGCTCAGCGCAAAAAGTTCTATTATTAGATTAAAAGTGGAGTAGTGCATGACTTTCAAACTACAAAACAGGAACTATGCATCAAAATCCATTTATCTACGTAGTTCCTGGCTTTAAAACAGTTTGGTTCTGTCACTAGTTTTCACATTTTTTTCACAACATTTTACTTTTACAAACAACATTATTAATCAAAAATAGTTAGATCCACCAGCTTTCAAAGGGAGCGCAACAATCTTATTTTCAAATGCTTATTATAATTAGCGAACACTACATATATTAAGGAAACCTTAACCCTGACAACACCGCCGATTACAGTGCACGAAATTAGACAGTCAAGTCCTTAAGGCGGAAGTGTTTTCATTTGATCTCTTTTCCCGTCTGTGACCATTTCTGAAAGAAATGTGTTTTGTTTTTCAACTTTCCTACTTGATTGAAATAAAATCTATATACATTTTTAATCCTTTGACTTCACTTATTAAAGATACAAAATAAAAATTGGCTCATTATTGTTCGTATTTTGGTTATTGACCTAAATAATTACGCAAACAGCTATAGAATTTAAACATAGATCGGCAACACTGATTAGTCCATCTTTTCATTTCCCCCTATAGTTTCTTTGTTCCTTCAAAGTTCATGTGTTACAATTAGCCTCACACCTTGAGCAGAGATGAACATAGTTTTAAATGTCAGGCTGCTTTATTGGAAGTTCACCTTTTCACATTCCTGCCCTGGCATCAGCAGAGTGTAGCTGTGGCTGTGGGTCTAGTTGTCAAAGCTCCAGTTGAAGTAATTGTTTATTGATGACAAATGGAAGCGCTATATGGGCTTGTAAATGTGAGATTGGATTTAGTTTGCAAAGTATGTAACAAGTGTTTTATTGAGACCTCTGGTATTTTATCCACAGAGACCAGGCACCAGGCTTTTGACAAGAAGATAGTCCTGGTTTTATGAACGATGTTGATACAAGTATACTAAAGATTGTATTATTAACATTTCCTTTACTTTACTCAAGATCAATTGCACAAATCAACAAGGCGTTCCACCACGTTCCACCATATATCAACAATGAACTTTATAGCTTTGGGGAGTTGGAAATTGGATATTGACTGGTCAATGTACCAAACAACATGTTATAAATATATATACCACAAGTCCCCTGCACTAGTTTGTTTTAACTGTAGGAAAACCTCAACATGAATGTGTTTGTTTTGCTACTGTTCAACAATGTAAATATAAAATCCAACCTCATCCATAACACTAAAATACTCATACATACATTTACATTTGAGTTTGTAGTAAAAAAAAAAAGGCTCATATTTCAGACCCTATGATGTATTAAGCTCACCGCACACCGAAACGCAGCGCCTCGCGGCGCGTCATTTGACGCGCGTTCATGACATGTGTCAAATTACACCGGAACGCCTTGGCTAGCGTCCTTTTCCAGCTGATCGCAGATGAAATGGGTGAGTGACGTTTGGAAGTTTCTACTAATATTTTGGGGGAGGAAACAAAGTATTTACGTGAAATTATGCTGGCAAATATTACAAGAAAAGACTATTTGGACCCATTTTTTAAACAGGCTAATAACTAGCTCTGGGTAACGCTGTACTTGGGTTATCAAGCTTTCCTCGTCCATTGTGACCGGTTTACTTGAGCAATAGCGCCGACAAGTGTGTAAATTTGAGACCGCGCTCACAGCTACGTGATAAGAAGCGCAGAAGAAGAAAACTACGGGTGCTTGGAGGGACAGTTTCAGCCGCGGCGCCGCGTCTGGATTCAACAAAACTGAATCGTGACGCCCGGTCCAGCGTCGCCGCGCGTCACTGCAACCTTGGTGTGCGTTCTCTCATAGAAAATAAAGGAGGCGGCTCTTTTGCCGCGCGTCAAGGCGTTTCGGTGTGCGTTGGGCTTTAGTAGTTCTTTTATTTAAGAGCAAGGGAAGCAATTGGGTAATGTACTTGATATATAGACATAATTTGTTATTTCTTGTAAACTTTGACACTCAACTAGGGGTGGCAACCTAAGGGTACCTCACGATACGATACGAAACACGATACAAAGCTCACGATAACGATATCACAATAACGATTTTATCACGATATGACGATTATTGATATATTGGTTAGAAATATACAATATGCCAATTTATGGCATAAATAAAAGAAAAAATACTCTTTATTTCATGACAAATAGAATGGAGATGCGTAATGTAGCCATACTATTTTCATTAAAAAAATGTAAAAAAATAAATAAATCAAAATGGATATTGATACTTGGCAAATGCATATCGATAATCGAATCGCGGGAGAAAGTATCGCGATATATCGAAAAATCGATATATCGTCACACCCCTACACTCAAGCGCTCAAATGTAATAACTAAATAAAGTAGCATGCCTCAGACCAAAGCATATTGGCCTCCTCTGCTCCTGATCTTGAATGAATGACTCTTGATACATCAGAATGCCTTGGACATCACCCCTTTTCACCCCTCACGTAAGGTTATCTTTTTGTAATCCAAACCTGGGTTGAACTTTTGGATGTATGGTCTAGAGATATTGTCCTCTGCTGACAGACTTATGGTCCTGCTGGTGCCCAGAGTCAAGACTAAACATGGGGAGGCAGAGTTTCAGATTTATGCAGCTAAAATCTGTAACAGTCTTTGAGAACATGTGAGACAGGCATTTACTCTGACAATGTTCAAATCCAGTTCTGTTTAGCTGTGCATACAACTGAAGGATTGAATCTTCACTCTTTTTGAATACCTTGTCTCTTTTTCTTGCCTTGTGTATGAACTGTGCTGTATAAATAAACTCTATTCTCTGCTGTCTGACTGATGTGAGTGTGTTGGCTACAGGTGATCCGTGCACGGTGTCGTCACAGCTGGAGCTGGAGGAGGCGCTGCGTCTCTATGAACTCAACAAAGACTCCGAGCTCATTATCCACGGTGAGTCCCAACGCTGACCCTGCTAATGGTCTCAAGCACCGAACCAAAGAACAAGATCAGACAGATGTAATCTCAGGGAAAAGTAAAGAGTTTTTGTTGTCAAAGTTGACGTCTGAAACCCTTTCTATCATTAACCACTACTGGACAAAATATGTGTTGTATCAATTTATTAAAAAATACTTTTTATAATAGCTTCATAATTGAGTGAAGCTAGAATAGTGAAGCTAAAATAAATGTTATCAAACAAAATATTGGAGGCAAACTTGCTGAAGTCATGTATTGTACATTTTCAGCCTCAATTCTTGCTTTATTGCTTATGTCTTAGTACATAATTCCTTCAAAAGAAAGAATATTTCAGACCAAAATGTCAGCATTATTGACAAGTATTTGAGGATCTATATTGTTTATATAACCTGTTTCAAAGGTTTTGTTGGCATTGCTTGCCTCTATAGATTTTCTATTGCTTTAGCTTGGAGATTGATGATATGAATGCCATGCTGAGGAACAATCAATGACGTAACGTTTCAAGGACAAGCCGAAAAGATTGCCATAGTAAATATCTGTATGGGAAACGCCACTATTGTCTTACTTATTTATGTATTTATTTTATTCATAATAGGGCTGTCCAAAATAGCGCGTTATTAACGCGTTAACGCAAATCAATATTAACGCCGTCATTTTTTTTATCGCGCGATAAAAAAAAAAAATTTTTTTTTTTTTTTTTTTTACTTTTTATTGCAGACAAACACATATACAGAAAAAAAAATAGAAACAAAGAAAAGGACTAGTTCAGATACATTGTAGACAGAGATTACAAACAATATGTAGTTGGAGATACAGGGGGCCAAAGAAGAAACCCAGAAGGGCACATAGTAGCCAAACAGTATACAGTCATAGATATACCGAAGGTAAACAGAAACAGCATAGAGTATTCACATGAACAAATTTACAAAATATTTACAGATTGTTTATCATCATCATAATGACACCATGATGTTTCTATACAGTCTATGGTCTATACCCACACATACACACACACACCCACACACACACATTGAAGGGGCTTTTTGTTACCAATTATTTATTTTGTCATCCATTTATTGATGATTTTGCATCAAATGTTAGTGTGTAATATAACACTACACCTTGTTTTCAATAAAAAAAAGCAATTGCACACAGCACGCAAATGTGTGACTAATTTGCGATTAATCACGAGTTAACTATGAAATTCATGCGATTAATCGCGATTAAACATTTTAATCGTTGGACAGCACTAATTCATAACTTTTCAAAATTGAACACATATCAAAAACAGCAGAGAACATACAGTCTGTGGGGTAAGGTAAAATGACTATAGCTTGAATCTATTGAATCCACTTTGACCAATATTTTTCAATTTTGCCAGCGGTCAGTCTCTGGTGAAAGGTCATTTCTTCCATCACATACTGGTACATTTCTCCCACAATGTCTCTCCATTGATTCAGTGTCAGAAGATCACTTTTTAGCCAATTTCTCGTTATGAATTTCTTACTCGTTTTCACCATTAATGTACACAAATACCAGTCCAAACCTTTGAACATCTTTCTCCGACAAAACTCTGTCTTTTGAACCGTGCCAGACAGTAAAGATCATATTCCGGTTCACTGACACGTTTTATTTCTCTCTCTAATCGCTTTTCCGTCTTATTTATAAAGACATTACGTCCACGTCCATGACACAGACTTGCTCTAACATACGCTGAAAGATGCGTTGACCTGTGAAAGAGCTTCTGCTGCTGACGTTTGCAGTCGAACCCCTGGGCTGTAGACTACTTCCTGTTCTTAGCTGAGGCTTTTTATGAATTGCATTAAGCCAATCTTTTATGTCTCTGCTAGCAAACGCCGTCTCCAATCCTCCGCCAGTTGATATTCGAGGTTTTGAGCTTGCTGGTTTTTTTTTCATAAAGTTTTATTCATATCCAGAAGGGTGAGGGGTCTTTGGAAAGTGAAGAGTGGATGTATGGAGGGAGCAGGGATGTTGACAGTGCTGTGGGGGGTTGCCAGATCTGCACACTAACAAGCTCGACGACGCTAAGCCCACGCCTCAACTCTGACTCACACCGTGCCCCCAAGTCTAGAGCTGTGTCTACATCAGCACTATAACGCTCACATCGTCTGTGAAAATACTGGTCTTTGCAGCCACTCTGGCATCGGCATATAGTAGTTTATACGCTTGTTATACAGAAGGCAAGAATGTATCATAGAGACGTTGTTCAATCTTTTGAATACACACCTAAAACATTCCAAGTGAACCATCAATGTTCATAAAATGCTGTCACTGTCAATCATGTCACTGTGATTGTCATTGGATCAAATTTGCGAGAACAAATGCATAGTAAAGAACAGAACAGTGGATTGCTGGAGGATCGGCTGTTTGAATGCAGGCCAACACATTTTACAAGGACATAGCTGAAAATGTTAAGAGAAAGAAGGGTTAATGTTTCAGAATGGTTAATATTTCTCAATATGAAACTCAGGAGATTAGAATAGCATACAAAAAGTTCCTTTATTTCAACCTAAATGTGAGACCAATACATGGTATAGTCTCATTGCAAACTCATATGCCAAGTCTTTGTTATAATGTTCAAGGTTATGGCTTGTAGTCCATTTTCAGAGTAGTCTAATTTACTGTGTTTTTACAAGCTGTGAGTAGGGGTGGGCAATATGGACAAAAATAAATATCTAAATTTTTTTTCCCCCAACTCCTGATAAGATATATTGTCACGATATCTTTAAAATCAATCATTTTTACACAAAATGATATGCAATATTTTTCTTACCAGGGCATCTATAGATGGAGACAGTGTAGAACAAAATAGCAGCTTTTTATTTGTAAAGTGCTTTACACATCTTTGCAAAATATGCACAAACATATGTTCCTATTAAAAATAAAATTCAAGTAACACGGGAAGAACACATCCAAAAAGGCTTGCTCAATATTTACTGAAATGTTCAAATAAAGCAGTGATTGGCTTTTTAGGCATGCATTTCACGAATGGGTATCTTGCCTGCTCTAATTGGGTTTTTTTTTATATACGAAAACGCAAAAAAGCATATCTTCAAATTCACTTTCGCGATATTATTGTCTACAATATACAGTGCCTTGCGAAAGTATTCGGCCCCCTTGAACCTTTCAACATTTCACCACATTTCAGGCTTCAAACTTTTTTAACAAATAAAAAACTGAAAAGTAGGGTGTGCAATATTATTCGGCCCCTTTACTTTCAGTGCAGCAAACTCACTCCAGAAGTTCAGTGAGGATCTTTGAATGATCCAATGTTGTCCTAAATGACTGACGATGATAAATAGAATGCACCTGTGTGTAATCAAGTCTGTGTATAAATGCACCTGCTCTTTGATAGTCTCAGGGTTCTGTTTAAAGCGCAGAGAGAACCATGAAGACAAAGGAACACACCAGGCAGGTCCGAGATAATGTTGTGGAGAAGTTTAAAGCCGGATTTGGATACAAAAAGATTTCCCAAGCTTTAAACATCTCAAGGAGCACTGTGCAAGCAATTATATTGAAATGGAAGGAGTATCAGACCACTGCAAATCTACAAAGACCCGGCCGTCCCTCCAAACTTTCATCTCAAACAAGGAGAAGACTGATCAGAGATGCAGACAAGAGGCCCATGATCACTCTGGATGAACTGCAGATAACTATACAGAGAGATGTAGTCCCTTCAGCGTTTCCTGGGTCTGTCCCGGGGTCTCTCCTGGCGGGACATGCCCGGAACACCTCTCCAGGGAGGCGTTCAGGAAGCGATGCCTGAGCCACCTCAACTGGTTCCTCTAAAGGTGGAGAAGCAGCAGCTCTACTCTGAGCTCCACCTTTTGTGACTGAGCTCCTTTTTTGGGACAAGACGGGCTGCTAAGGGGTGAAAACTACAATTTATAGTAAGCCAGCCTAAGATGGGATACAGTTAAATGCACACAAAACGTTCTGTGTGCCATTTATTAGTGCACAAAGATAAAGTAATTTCTAAATCCTCTGGGGACCTATTCTTTGAAGGAGTGGTTTGCTACTAGTTGGAGACCCCTGCTCTATATACTTTTTATGGTAATACTGGTAAGATAAATGAGTGGAAACACATGCATAGGATTACAAATATGAAGGGGAAAATCCATGACGGTTTTTCTCCGTTTTGCATATCCAGCAGTGCATATGAAGAATAGTTCCCCATCGCATTCAGGCGCATGAATCAAAGTAATTAGCAGATAAACATCTCACTCCAGGAATGAAGAATGAACAAGTCTCTGCAGTGAGGCGGCTGCGGCTCACCTTGAGAGCTCCATCTGCTCAAGCATCCTGAATACAGCTGTTTACCTGCTCTATGGCAACCGTGGACAATGGCACACACACAGCAAATAAAAAGGCAGAGAGGTTACTCGCAGTTGAAATCCCATTTGAATGTTACAAATAGCCAACTGCATAGCAGCAACTAACAAACTTGGAAAATTAGAAACTCATTCAAAAATTTAATTTACTCCTGTTTTTTAACTTGCAAAGCAAAATTATTTTATGATCCATTACAGCAAAGTGAGATATATCGAGCCTTTCTTTGTTACGATGTTGACATTATTGGCAGCTTGTAAAAACTCGTTAAACATCCTCGGAAAATCTGAATACTTTGAAAATGGACTGTAAGCCAGGGATTAAAGAGTTCCGTCTAGGTGACGGATTTCCGTCAAATGGAATTGGTCTGGAAAAAAAAATATATATATATAATATAATGATAATAATACACACAATGAAATGATTGATTATAAAAATAATATATAGTAATACATATACGTGTGAATCTGTTATATATATATATATATAATTATATATATATATATATATATATATATATATTTATATATCGATGTATAATAATAATTTGAATATAATTGTATTTATATGTATATAGAAATAATAAGTAATATAATGACGAGTGGGCCTTGAACGTGCCGTGGCCACATGAGCGCTCCGCAAATGAATCAAGGCAATGGGACGTAGCTGAGCTCACGCGCAAATGAAGACGCGATGAAGTTAGCATTGGTAACACGGAGGTGAAAGTTTCTGGAAACTGCACGGAGCTTTTGAAAAGGAGAAGAGGAGGAAAATTGAATAACAGCAGCAGATCCGCGGACTGGTAAGCTGGGCGCGTAATAGAGGAAAGGTAATTAGAGTTTACCAAACGCAATGCTATTTTACTTAACGGAATGTACAAAACGGACTTTGCTGCAACTGGGAATGGGGACAAACATGTCTTGGTGAGCTCTTGTTTGCGATCTTCTTGCAAAACTCAGCGTGATGTAAAAGAGCCAATCAATGAGTCATGGTGCGAAAAGATGAGAGTGGCCGGTGCTTGTGCGTACTTTGCCATAAAAAATTGCATATGGGAGTAATGAGAAAAAAGTTTTGATTCGCCACCAGCTCAAAACTGCGCACAAGGCAGCTGTTTGTGCACTTTCCCACACTTCATCTTTACCTGGTGCATCAGCAACAACTGACACTAGGCTTGCTCTGGCGGACCGTGTCTGTGGCTTTATCGCAGAAAATAACGTTCAGAATATCACTACCGCTGGTAGATTTATTTAAATCATTTGCAGTTGATCGAAGTGCACTGTGCACTCAAACTTGATAGGGAAACCTTTTTCTTAAATATTGACGTGTCCACAAACAAATGTGGACAGAATTTTATCGTCCTTTTGCAATATTTTGACGAGGACAGAGCCAAAGTGTTGACGCTCCATATCGCCTCAAGTAAAGCTACTCTCACTAATATTCTGTCAAAAAGTTTACTCGTTGCTTGATCCACTTATATTTCATATCAAAATACACTGTATATCTTTGAAGAATTCATTTGAGCTGTATTCAATATACAATCTATTATACAATAATATATTGTAATAAAAAATATAACTTGGTCCTGCATATTACTGTGATTTACATGTGATAAATTTCCATGCAAAAATTTTCAGTCAAATCTTTTTTTTTTGCTTTAACCCCTGCTGTAAGCCATATTCATCAAAAATAGATGTCTGTCTTTCATGAGTCTATCGTGTATTGATTTCACATTTTGAGTTTTATTTCAAAATTATATGAACGATATTCTACTTTCCCCAGTTTCACTTGTGTGACAGTACAAGTCAGCTATTATTTTAAAGTTTTAATTGTAAAAAAAAATTCTGTGAGTAAAATTGAAAACTGATGAATGACGGCTTAAAGACATAACAAATAAAACACATCCATTCTCTTCAGCTTTATCTGTTGCCAAATATGTATTTACTTATTTTGGATTTGTACATTTTTTTAGCTTTGTCATTAAATGCCCTTTCCCATAAATTAGTTTAACATAAAATATAATTACAACTATGAAGGCAATTGACTATTCACGATTGAAGCAAACTTCTTCCCGTTTCCTGCTCTTAAACCTCTGCAAATATGTATTAAAATGCATGGGATTCTTGTATCAATATAGCAGTGAATATTTGAGTGTGCTTTAAAGTGTTCGCGGATGTGTTTAAACCTTGTACCTTTTGTGTGATATAATTATAATGTATAATAAACCTCAAACCTAGCTGTCATTCCTCCTGCCTCATTTTAAAAACAAATTATGTTTTGTCCTCAGTGTTTCCTAATATTCCAGAGAAGCCCGGGTTGCCATGTCCAGGAGAAGACAGTGAGTGAAACCTGCTTTAATATGTTTATTTTTAAACTTGTAGTCGTACTGTTCGGACTTTTGACAAATGTCTTGGCTTTCTCTAGAGTCTATATATCGACGTGGCGCCAGACGCTGGAGGAAACTCTACTACGCAAGTGGCCATGCTTTTCAGGCAAAACGCTTCAACAGGGTGAGAAAATCAGGGCCGCCACAACACTACCATCAAATACAATGTTGTATCGCAGAATTATCTTAAAGCTACAGACTCTATTCGTACTATTTTCATTTTTAATTACAGTCATGTAGTTTCTTTTGGTCTTTATTTTTCAAAGTGACGGTGCTCAGTAACATTAAGCTCAAAGACAGATATGTTCTGCACCAGATTACAGCTACACGGCTAATTGCCATCTGCAGTCCCCGGTTACATGAAATAAACAATACAATAACAAACAATCAAATTGCAACAATAGGAAAGTGCAGTAGCATACTGTATAATGATTCACATACACTGCAAAAAGTGATGAAAAAGAAGTCTGAAATTGCTCAAATTTGGCTAAATGTATCTTAATTTAAGCACATAAAGATTTGCCAATGGGACAAGCAAAATGATTTTGTTTTGAAAATATACAAGAAATGTCTCCCTTGGAATGTGAAAATAAAGCAAGAATTCCATAGGATTCAATAGCCAGTCCCATTGCCACGTCTTGTTTTAAGACAGTCATGAGTACTCAAATAAAACTCAATTCAAGTCACTGTTACCTCATATTTACCTCATTGTACACACACAAACACACAGCCACACACACACACCTCACACAAGCAAGCAATACATCCTCTCATTCACATCATATGAATTCACTAACTATAAAATTGTTACAGTCCATAATAATATACTACATACAAGTTGTCGTGTTGCGCGCACATAGAGGCCACAAATATATTCACGTCATATTTGACCTTTTCTGAACAAAATTTGAAAGTGGAGTTATTCTTAATTAGACATACTATGAACATGATGACTATAATTATGTGTATAATTATTCCAGCCATTTTCCTCTTCTCTGTTTGAGCAGCGAGCACACTGTGCCATCTGTACAGACAGGATCTGGGGTCTGGGCCGACAGGGATACAAATGCATCAACTGCAAACTATTGGTTCACAAAAAATGCCACAAAATGGTCACGGTGGAGTGTGGCAGACCCATGTTACAGGTCAGTGCTCTGTGCAAAGCCTGGTTCATTCACCCCACAAAAATGCTCTATTTTAACACGCATATTTCTGTGGTTGTTTGGTCCAGGAGCCAATCATGCAAGGCCCAACATCCAGTCAATTAGATCAAACGGAACAGCCAGGTAAAAACGCTTTGATTTGTTTGGGGTTTTTATGTGTTGTTGGTTTATTAGACTTAAGAAGAGCGTCCAAAACAAAAATAAACGAGAATAAATGTAACTAGGACCACAGTCACTTTTTGTTTGTGGCCCTAGTTAGATTTGTATACACCTAATTTTATTATTGTAAAACTCAAAATATTGTGACACTTTTCAATTGAAATGCATCTTCAACATTGTCACCCTCCTTAAAATAAAAACTTATGTCACATTTTCCACATTTTGGCAGGAAACTATTACACTCCCACATTCATCATGTCAAAGGCCTAAAGCTGTATATCACATGATCTGTTCCACAGAGGGTGTAGGTCTTTCTACCATAAGTGGCCAGCATCATGAGGAGAGGATTTAGATAATTATGTTCATTACAAATATTTTTTTATGAAGGTGACAACGTTTAAGAATTGTCCAATAATTGCGAATTTAAGGAGACCAATACAATTTGATGCACAAAGCCTCAGATTTTGGATTGTTTGGCAGTATGACTAAGTGCATGTATCGAGGGATGCTGGGGGTCAAAGACTGCTTATGAACTTTTCCAAAAGGCTGCTCTGGGGATCTTCATTATTCCCCTGTTGGGATGATTTGAGATTTTAGGCTGTTGTCAACAGTAACAATTAGAATATGTTTACTGAAAATTAATAGCATCAGTGTCAAGCAATAACATCCCCCAAAACAATGACATTACAACGACACGCTGCCGTTTTGGAAACATTGAATATTTCTGAGCATTTTACAGTTTTTTTTATACTTTTACAGAAGCCGTGCAATAGATTAGTGCAGCAGCTGTGTTCTCCCTCGGCCCCAGACATAAGTCCAGTCAGGTGTTTGGGACCAGAGCTAAGGATTGTGTTGCTATTGTTAGAAAAGTAGTTGAAAAAACTACAACGCACAAAGAAGAAATGAGGATAGCCATTGTGTGTTGGGCTATATTTACATTTTGGTGTTTAAGACTGCTCAAGTTTCTGACGTAAGAACAAGCTTTAGGAAAGCTAAATGTTATAAATCAACAAAGGAAACATGTGAATCTTATAAATCAACATGGAAACATGTGAAAATGCTATAATCTATTTATATAATCTTTTATATATTTTTATAAAATAACAGATCGAGTTTTCTTGGGATATTGCACAAAAGTTTTGTCATTTACACATAATGACAGGTTTGCTCAAAATAACGTTATGTACATAAGCAAAATGCATGCTTTCATTTTTCAAAGAAGATTCATCTTTCAGAAACATTATGGAAGCTGTTTTTTTTTTTCAGACAAATGCATTTTGCAAAAAAAATCCTTATAGAGCATGCCCAAATGATCAAAATCAGAAATTTACATACTCTGAGGATATTAGGAAAGTTGACACAGACAGGTTTGAATGGGAGCAGAAAAGTCCATAGAAAAAAATTGGCAAAAAATCCAGGATATGTAAACTTATGAGTACCTCTGTATCTTTAAAATAATGAACACTAAATTAATACTAGAATTATCAAATATCCAAATGTTATTCTAAAATCCATGCGTTTTTATGCTTAGCCGCTCATCACTCAACTGTGTAAAATATTTCATCTAAATGTTTCCTGATCTTTCAAACTCAAAACTCTTTGTCAAACTGAATCTTTCTTTACGAATGCTTTTTAGAATGTGCTTAAAACACTATAAACACTGCTTTTCACATAAATCGGCTTGCACAAACATGAGTATTTTGGCCAGACCTCCAACTTGGCAATGTGAAAAGGGCCCTCAAATAGTTTGTGCTTATCTGAGTAGAAAGCCTCTTTATTTTTATAGTCAAAAATAGTTTTGGGTATGTCTTTGTTAAGCCGTCTCTACTTCACTGTGGCCTTATTAAAAATAATGACTTAAACACAACAGGAGAAATGTAAAATAGCTAAAAGCCTCATGTGATGATAGTTACCTCCGACATAGTAACATTTATATAATACAATTATGAGAAAGTATCATATTTTTTGTCATAACTCAAGCAGACTGCAGCCCCAGGGAAAGTATATACCTGTGATGAAGGTCTTCTAGAGGTAGTCATCAAAATGAATTAAATGTTGTAGGACAGATCATTTCTGCATTATATTTATGAACATTGTTGATACTTAGAATATTTTTATGAAATTAGCTCAAGTAGCAATAAACTAGCCAACTATATTGGTCAACCCCTAGTTTTAGTGGTTTTTGCATTAGTAGTCAAGGAGACAGATAACAGAGATACATATTTATTATATATATATTAGAGCTGATTTTTATTTTTTGCAGTAAATTTGAAAATATTGGTGTTAAAATTTGGAACAATACAAATATTGATATTTGCTTAAATGCCTAAGTATGCTTATTCGACAAAACTAGTAACTACACTAATAAATCCTTGTGTTAGTTACATCATTGTTACAGCCACTGGGCTGGACTTATCAATATTGGTGCCGATAATCAGTCGCCCTCTAATCAAAACTACATTACAATACTTTGCTAATTTTTAACCTTCACTATTTGTTTTTCATGCATATTTGGGTGGGTTCCTGGCTTAAAAACTTTGGGAACCCTATACCGTCATACAATAGTGTTATTTTGTGGTCGCATTTATTACTTGTAAACTGCATGCCGTCTGATCCCAGCTCCCACGAATAACATCATGAATTGCAAACTCAGTAAAAATAACATTGACAGAAGAAAAAATATCACTTTCATAACCTTTTTGTGTCTTCACTCTTAACTAGGCGACAGAAGATGACGCTGTCTGAGCTGTGAACAAAGCCTGTTACCGTCTCACACTCGGATCTCACATGGTTTTTTTAATGTCTTTTTTTCTCTCCTCCCACTCTCCTTCTGTGGCGTACGGCACTGTCTGTCACTCCCTGAAGGCGCGCACAAAGACTCCAGAGAAAGCCTGACTTACGACGGCGAAGAGAAAGAGGTGAGACGCCAGTTTTGACATGCCGCTGTCCCTGTCAGACCTGTCACATGTGGAGAGAAGTGTGCCCTGCATAATTACATGGAGATCTGGGTATAGGGGAAGGATGGCGTAGTGCCGTAAACGCTGTGAATGAAAACATGCAAGCTGTGGTTGTAATGTAGGGGAAAGAACAGCTGCCTGAAACTTATCGCAATAACATTCTGTGGATTTAGTCAATACTCAGCATGGGTTCCAGTCTATCTAAAGCCCCATTTCCACCAGCCCTACTTGGCCCTACTCTCCACTATTTAGCTCTACTCTACTCTATTTGGCTCTACTTTACCCCGATTGAGAGTGTTTCCCACCATGGGACCTACTCCATCTGCTCCCACTGATGTCTACTGTCGTTGTGTCCTTGGGCAAGACACTTAACCCCACGTTGCCTGAAGCCCCCGCTGAAAGACCAAGGCTGTTTCACCACTGACAGAGCAGCCATCTTCCTGTGGACTCACCCCCTGCAGAGGATCAGCGAGGGACTGGTGCTATGAGCATTGGGTGGCAGCTCTCATTGCCACCCCCCTGACCCAGAAATGGACAATAAAGGGCTTGAAAATGAATGAATGAATGAATGAGAGTGTTTCCACCGGCCCTGTTTAACCGGAACCAGGTAGTTTTTAGTACCTGCTTGGCCCTGGTCTAAGGCTGAGCTGAAATAAAAGTGTTCTAACTTACAGATATTAACCAGTGTCCTGCTGGTAGCCATGGTTACCAATTTGCTCGGATACTAGTAGGTTGCTAAAGCATAATGGAAACACAACCAGGCCGAGTAGAGCTGGTGCAAACCAGAGTTGATATTAATTTAAAACTACTTAAACAAAGGAGATGAACGTTGGCTTTGTGCTGATGTAGGATGTTTACAAAGATAACATTACCATTTCCTTCATGCTCTATGGTCAAACACAATTTAACTATTTCAGGGATCACCACTGTCCTTAGACCGTCCAGAAGCGGCATAAAAAGTCCTATCTCTATACAAGTTGATCAGAGACTCCAGATTTTTCCCGCGTTCACATTATTCTAATACCGGGTACCCAACCTTGAAATACTGCAATACTACAATGTATTATTTCACCTGAGCAACGACCCCTGCTTTCCCTTCACGCCCCGGCCATTTATATTTCCATAGTAACCCACGTGCCTTAACCATATTGTGCAGATTTGTCTACTATCTATCCGAATGGCCATGTCCACCTGCTGGGCCCCGTGATATAGCGGCCATGCAGACGTAGGCACCATTGCAGTTGTGTGGTATTGATTTCCGTTGGCGGGGCTAATAAAGTAACCTTTTATCACAGCTCTTAACACCCGCGGCTGATGGATGCTCTCAGATAGACTCTGCCTTTAGATGCAGTGGCATGAAAGGCTGAGGGCCATATCTGCACCTAAACGCCTCTTTTTGATCCTGATATTTTCCCCAAGAGCGCTTAAGGAGATATTGTACATGCCCATGACTTTATTGAAAAGATTAGATTGGATTAGAAGGCTCTTAAATGCTGTCATAGATCACTAGATGTGACGGCAAAGAATCCTCTGGTGCAGTGTAAATGGTTGCGTAAGATAAACTTCTGTATAAACCTATTACCCAGTGTTCTGATATTTCTCTATATAATTTCATCCAATGTATTTTATTTGTTTAATATGAACACAACAGTTACATTGGGCAGACCAGATGTACTGCCTTTAGTATTACAGCAATACCAGGCTAATTTCCTTACTTGTACATAGGTGGCTTATAGGAATCCTCACCATATCAAATAATGTTGAGGAAAATCTAGATAATTGAATTCCTGATCTATATATAATTATAACACATGTCACACGAAAGGGCAAGGTCTCTCATTGTTTTCTTAGTCAAAATTATTTATTGATCATTTCTTTGTTCAGACTCTAAAGTCCACATGAGAACAAGAAACACACACTAATAGACACGACTTGCATTAAAAAATGCAGAAAAGCTTTTAAAAGACAGCTACATCATTAATGAGACTGGTACAGCACAACACTAGCCTGGTCTTGGCCATCCGTAAACTCTGGTCAGTTATTATTTCCCCACATGTATGTCTGGGTCTGCTCCCAGTGTCTGCAGTTACCTCGGCATCCAACCTTTCAGCGAGCGGGTGAGGTGGGAGTTTTTGGTAGGTGTCGGTGATGCCAAGAGTTTGCGCAAAATTTGTTGGTTGTAGTTTGGCAATGGCGGCGAATATGATAGTTAAGTAATCCGTTCTTGTTGGAATCAAGAAATGGAAGCCAGAGCAAGAGGAATGTTTAGTGCAGATTTCATTGCTGGCAAAGATGTGGTGGCTCTACTCCCCACGGGCTCCCGTTTTTGACAAAGAGGAGCTTTTGACTTATTAGGGCCAGTTAATGAGGACTTGACATGAAAATCTTACATACTGTAGTGCTACCTTAAATTAAAATATTTTGCACTGTAATATATTTCCTGTAATCTGGCATGTAACATTACAAATACGTTGTTATCAAGTGTTTTTGTGTGATTAAACATGATCTCCAGGTGAGATAAACCTAACCCCAGGACTCATCCAGACTCGTCGTGATCGAGTCTTCGATCGGCACTCGTGTTTGCTGTAATTTGCTCTAAAGCCGGTCGTGGTTACCATGGATAAGCTCCACTCAATTCACAAAACAATGTGAGCATCTACTAATTGATCTGGGACCTCAGCGTGATTAGGACACGGCTGCTACTAAAGCTACTGGCTCTTTCCCAATATGCTTTTCAGCTCCTCAAACAGTAAGGCGTTCACTAGTAAGGCTGACGTTTGTCCCCTTTCTTCTGAATCGTCGTGGATGTCACCTCCTTAGTGAACATACATGTATTTTACTTTACTTTTAAGCTCCAACTAAAACCAATTTTACGAGTTTCAACCCAGTATTCAGCAGAAAATGCAACAACTGTCATTGAACCATGAATCCATGTTTCACTCTAACTACGTTTAGTAAAAGATATAGATATGACACATACCATCATGTTTTAGACATTAGAACCACAGACACACGTTCAGAATAAGACCATATGTTTGCATTTGATTGAAGACACTCACCATTTCTCTCAAACTCAACATCTGGAGCTGGGACATAGAGTTGAGGCTTCTCTCTTGGTGTTGCGGGTATTGATGTGTTAGTGTGTTAGCTGGTGTCCGTAAAAATAATCCATCTTCTCAAACCACCTCCAGACTTTTCAGTTCTATCCACTTTTACGGCTGGGATCTTTCATTTCACAGTAGTCACTTTTACGCTTCTTAATTTTTTTTTCTCTGCACTGCGATGTCCTGATATCCATTCGTTCGTCCCTAGCGCTACCTTCGCTAACACTCGTTTACACTCACTCGGGTGGCACCATCGAGCTCAAACTGGCCGCATCCGCAAACCGGGTCGAGACGGGTCGGACCATAGATCCATGACTTCAGCCCATGGAAATGGCCCTAATGTTTGCAAATGTTGAGTTCTTGAAGATTGCGCCTCATCTGTCAGAGTCCTCAAAATCAGAATTACTGTCATAACAATAACGCAAGGGCTCATAAATAAAAACCCCTGACTTGTATTGTCCATCACTGAACAACAAATGTCTGTTTAAAATGTCCGTATACAACGTTATGGCTTACAAATGTATATCCACAAAGCCCAAAGACCCCTACGTGTACGTCACATCCGGTCTCGGAAATGTCTCCGCGAATTTCTTTTTGCATGATAATTATTGATTGAAACCGCTAAGGGTGAAATTATCTGTCAAAATTAATTTTATTTAACACAAAAAAACCCCACAATATACCAACCAAATAAGAATAGGTCCCTTTTGAGGAGCTAATTCTCATTTACAACCATTACCTGATTGATAAAAAATAAACATGTCTAATGGCATGTTCTAATAGTTACATTAGGTTATCCATGTCAAATGTTAAATTACTGCATGTTTCATGTTGAATTTTACATCAACTTCAAACACACAGAAATAACATTTGGGTTAGCACCAGAGGGCCAAGTAAAACGACGCAGAGGGCCGCGGGTCTTAGTTTGGACTTGCTTGGACTAAACCATGTGCAGGCTTTTGATAAAACCTAGGGTAACAAGAGAAAATAGTTTTTGTACAGTGAACTGTGAGTTAAAAGAAGATACATGGCTAAAAGTGGTTTCGATCTGGTTTCAACCTGGTTTTCTAATGATTTTGGGTTTGGCCGATTTGAGGAATACTTTAGTCTAGTCCCGGTTTTAACATCAGTCACTTAATAGCAGTGTGTGTTGCAATCCATACTTCCTCAATGTGAACAAGATTGATAAAGTGCTGAACACAGGTAGATATGGTCCATAGATCGGTTTGGATAAGTGGGCTCTGGTCTGATGATGTTATCCCAGGTTCAGTGCGGGACTCCTGGGACGTGTGCTGTCACGAACGCGGGCTTTAGATGGATTGCTCCTGGTATTGGTTCACTACAGAACAAATTACTTGTGAGCGGAAGGGCGAGGGGGGTGATCGGTGAGCGAACTGTAAAGGTGTCATCAACGCTAAAGACTGAATACGGCTGCTTTTAATCAAAACTCTCACCGTTCGTTGGATCTAATAAGGCCAAGCCGGTCATTACAGTGATATACTTCTTACAATAAAGCAAGAGTTTAATTTGGGAGTCACCCTAAGGAAATCACTGGTCAGCCAAATCACCTTTAAATGTACTTGAAGAAGGTTCAGGGACAAAATATTGTTTCTGCATGGATTTAATAAGTGCAGGCTCAATACTTCTCTCCACATATTGAGTTTTTAATTTGACATTTGTTCAGGCCCGCAGCAGCAGAGACACTGGGAAGTCACCGTCCAGTTTAGGCCTAGCGGATTTCGACCTGCTGAGGGTGATCGGGAGAGGCAGCTACGCAAAAGTGCTTCTGGTGCAACTGAAGAAGACAGAGAGGATCTATGCCATGAAGGTGGTGAAGAAGGAGCTGGTCAATGATGACGAGGTAATGGCTATTTAGACTATCCCTGGAGATTGAAATGATAAAAATGGTTAATAAAGCCATCTATCAAGCTTAATAGTGTTAATAAGCCTTTACATCACAGGTAAAGCTTGCCAACCATATTCATTTTTCTATGTAATAAAATCTATCCAACTAGTTACCTGCACTAAAAACAGTTTGGATCTATCATTAGTTTCCGTTTATATGTATTTTTTCATCCTCTGTCACATCTTTTGATCAGCTTTGTAAGACCGATAAATGGGCAGAGAGCCAATCATCTCTCATCATCAAAGCATCAAATACTGACTCTTTTTTGCAAAAGATGTTTTCTGAAGACGTTCTCTGGAGATTAAAATGTTGCCATGGATGGAAAAAGGGTCTATAGAACTTTCAAACCACAATAATTTAACTACATTATACAATTCCTCACTCTCAAAACACTTTGTTTCTGTCTATAGTTTTCACACGCACGCACAGTGCCTTGCGAAAGTATTCAGCCCCCTTGAACCTTTCAACATTTTGCCACATTTTAGGCTTCACACACAAAGATATAAAAATTTAATTTTTTGTCAAGAATCAACAACAAGTAGGACACCATCGTGAAGTGGAACAACATTTATTGGATAATTCAAACTTTTTTAACAAATAAACTGAAAAGTGGGGCGTGCAATATTATTCGGCCCCCTTGCGCTAATATTTTGTACGCCACCTTTTGCTGCAATTACAGCCCAAGTCGCTTGGGGTATGTCTCTATCAGTTTTGCACATCGAGAGACTGGAATTCTTGCCCATTCTTCCTTGCAAAACAGCTCGAGCTCGGTGAGGTTGGATGGAGAGCGTTTGTGAACAGCAGTCTTCAGCTCTTTCCACAGATTCTCGATTGGATTCAGGTCTGGACTTTGACTTGGCCATTCTAACACCTGGATACGTCTATTTGTGAACCATTCCATTGTAGATTTGGCTTTATGTTTTGGATCATTGTCCTGTTGGAAGATAAATCTCCGTCCCAGTCTCAGGTCTTTTGCAGACTCCAACAGGTTTTCTTCCAGAATGGTCCTGTATTTGGCTCCATCCATCTTCCCATCAATTTTAGCCATCTTCCCTGTCCCTGCTGAAGAAAAGCAGGCCCAAACCATGATGCTGCCACCACCATGTTTGACAGTGGGGATGGTGTGTTCAGGGTGATGAGTTGTGTTGCTTTTACGCCAAACATCGTTTTGCATTGTGGCCAAAAAGTTCGATTTTGGTTTCATCTGACCAGAGCACCTTCTTCCACATGTTTGGTGTGTCTCCCAGGTGGCTTGTGGCAAACTTTAAACGAGACTTTTCATGGATATCTTTGAGAAATGGCTTTCTTCTTGCCACTCTTCCATAAAGGCCAGATTTGTGCAGTGCACGACTGATTGTTGTCCTATGGACAGACTCTCCCACCTCAGCTGTAGTTATCTGCAGTTCATCCAGAGTGATCATGGGCCTCTTGGCTACATCTCTGATCAGTCTGCTCCTTGTTTGAGATGAAAGTTTGGAGGGACGTCCGGGTCTTGGTAGATTTGCAGTGGTCTGATACTCCTTCCATTTCAATATAATTGCTTGCACAGTGCTCCTTGAGATGTTTAAAGCTTGGGAAATATTTTTGTATCCAAATCCGGCTTTAAACTTCTCCACAACAGTATCTTGGACCTGCCCTGTGTGTTCCTTTGTCTTCATGGTTCTCTCACTATCAAAGAGCAGGTGCATTTATACGGAGACTTGATTACACACAGGTGCATTCTATTTATCATCATCAGTCATTTAGGACAACATTGGATCATTCAAAGATCCTCACTGAACTTCTGGAGTGAGTTTGCTGCACTGAAAGTAAAGGGGCCGAATAATATTGCACGCCCCACTTTTCCGTTTTTTATTTGTTAAAAAAGTTTAAATTATCCAATAAATTTCGTTCCACTTTACGATTGTGTCCCACTTGTTGATTCATGACAAAACATTTAAATTTTATATCTTTATGTTTGAAGCCTGAAATGCGGCGGAATGCTTTTGCAAGGCACTTTTTTGATTCTGTTGATAGTTGGACATGAATAATTTATGAGACAATTAAGTTAGGTACCACCAACTTTTTGCTCTTGAATAACATGCTGATACAGTTATTATTGTGACATTGTTGATTTCACTTCAGAACGTAATCTACTAGTCAGACTGCTTGCTTTAACATCTTCATAATTCCATACACATCTATCATGACATGCATTCTAATTGTCAGCTCTGTTCTTGATGTGTCAAAAAGTAATTAGCAGATGTACATCTAAAACAAGAGTGGAGATTTCCACCGTGATTAGTCTATACATTGTGACAGCAGCGTAACACCTCCGTTCAGACGCAGAGAGTTGGTTTTAGTGCTGAAGCCGTCACTCTGCTGCTGTCAATGCAGCTTTTAATTAATGCAGTTAGCGCAATATGCACAAGCGGTTTTTCTTGGCATTGACTTTTCTCCCTTGATTGAGCCTGCTCTATCCCTTTGTCTTTTACCCCCTGTTTTTGAATGAAGTATTTTGAGCCATCACTCTCTCTAAGAAGGTGTAGATAAACCATCATGTCATCGCAAATTGATTTTAGCATGTATGTAGCCGCACAGCCAGCGCTCCTGCAGTAGTTAGCCTTGATTAGACACACTTAGCATGATTGACAAATTGACAAGAGCCCGGCGATCAATGGAGAAGTGTTTTGCTGTTAGCAGAGTCCAGACATATTATTATCCAGCATCAATAGGACCGCCGCACAAACTCAGCGGCTGTTTCAAGAGCAGCCAGCAAGCTTTGAGCTGCAGGGAAGATGTGGCACACTGCTGGTTCAGCGGTCCGTGGTTCAAGGGTACATGGTCAGAGATGATTGACTTTTGGGTTTTGTCTGTGTGTTTGTGTGCGTGTATGTGTGTGTGTGTGTGTGTGTGTGTCTTTGCAGGACATTGACTGGGTTCAAACAGAAAAGCACGTTTTCGAGCAGGCGTCGAATCACCCCTTCCTGGTTGGCCTTCACTCGTGTTTTCAGACAGAAAGCAGGTAATGATCCACATGGTACACACAAGTACTATTCCATTCACTTTTCATCACAACGTGAACGAACCAACATCTTTCAGATTGGACTGCGGGACAAAAAGAAATAAAGCTGCTTTTAGTGTTTTATCTTTGTCCAATGTTATCTAATCTTCAATTAGATTTGTGTTCAAAATTTTTGTTTACTGCATATAATTTTTTTTTTTTAAATAACAACGATAACAATCTTTTTCACTTTGTTACATTTGTATGTTTAGTTTTATAATAACAGTTTATTTAAGTATTTATATGACCGTAGTTGAGTTACTTTTCAAATTGTGAAAAAAGAGTGATTCTTTTTTAAGCGCACTGGCCATGCTAAAACCCATAGCCTCCTTATTGTTTGAAATTAATTCAAATCCTTGAGGCTGCTTGTCATTGATTTAATGAGCAGCCTCCAGAAAAGTTATGCCAAGAGGAGTATTATGGAGTTTTAAATATATATATTTTTTGAATACTTATAATTTTATAATATGTACAAATATACTTTTAGAAATAAAATCTAAGTTTCTGACGTCGCCTCACATTGCAAATAAAACATAAAATATTGTTCATCCTGGATAGTCAAAATACGACATGAAAACATGAAATGTATATGATATTTTATTCTTAAAATCTGATTACGATAAACCCATATTTCACACAATGTCACAAACACATTGGATCTCCAGCTTGCTGCACTACACACTTGTAAAACATTTTGCAGGCGTTCTGTCTTCTCAGATTTGTCAAAAGTATCGATTGCAGCTTTGTGCGTTGAGGGGGTACATGACGGCCGCCGCTCCTGATTAATGCTTGCTAACTTGGCCATTTCTTAATATAAAAAAAATGTGGGTCCCATTCAAACATCCTTGCACATTCTGGATTATTTAGTCTCACAAACAATCAAAAGCGTTTATTAGATTAAAGTGCAGCGTCACTCTTCCCTTCACTAGAATCCTTCAAAACGGCCTGCTCAAAGGAGGCAATATGTATTGCCTTTTTATAGCAATAGTTTCATCTTATAATACAATTAGAAATGGGCCAATAATTTGGATTATTACTTACTTTCTGAGCTGCAAATACACAGAGAGTTGTTTCTAATGTTAATATTCTGGTTATATTTTAGTCTAAAGAACAACAACATTGAAATAATGTCATTGAAGATAGTGCGGCTTGACTCTCCCTTTCTCTAGAATCATTCAAAACCACATGACAACCGATGCAAAATGTATGGCCAGTCTACTTCCTCTTTATTTCATTTCCTTTGTGCTTGAATCAGCATGAGTAAATTATAGACCAAAACCCATTATTTGATTTGTGGTTTTCATTTTTCTCTGCTTTTCATGCGGTTATCAGGAGCTGGACCGTGGATGGCCTTATATAATGTACAGGAAACAGGAAATATTGAATCAGAATTCTGCCTTTGTCATTTTGCAGACTGTTCTTTGTTATTGAGTACGTAAATGGAGGAGACCTGATGTTCCACATGCAGAGGCAACGGAAACTTCCAGAAGAACACGCCAGGTACAAGGATAAATGTGTAACTTTTACAATATGGATGATAAAGGCTACGGCCACCAATAATGTAAGAACTTTTATACATTGAGATTTGATTTGGCACTAAACTACTGAAACATTTCCTGTTTAAACTCATTCTTTTTAATATTTAATTAACATTAAAGCATTTAGCATACAAGCTGGGCTACCTAACTTTCAAACCACAAAACATTTACTATTTATTCAAATCCATCTATCTATGTATATCACTAGTTTTCCTCTGCATGTATTTTTGGCATCTGCCAAATGTTTAGATCAGCTTATTCAGATAGAAAAGTCAAAAAGAGACGACCACCGTCACTCAGCCAATCAGCGATCAGCCCAAAACAAAAGTACGCAGAAGATGTTTTTTGTTTGTTATTTGTCCAGGCTATTTAAGACTTAATTCATTAGGAAACTACAACATTTCATGCCAACTTATTTTACACTGTATTGTTTCATTTTCTTTTGCGTATATAAGTTTGAAATAAATTCTACAACTACCACTATAGTCTATACAACATAACGCTCCACTAAGATTATCAAAACAAGCTCACACGATTGTCCTGGTTTGATCATGGTTTGTTCTGCTCTAGACCTGTATTAGTGTTATAGTTATACTGAAGTTTTTTTACATATCGATTGTTGGTTTTTCCAGGTTTTACTCGGCAGAGATCAGTATGGCGCTGAACTACCTTCACGAACGAGGAATCATCTACAGAGATCTGAAACTGGACAATGTTCTCCTAGACTCAGAGGGACACATAAAACTCACAGACTATGGCATGTGCAAGGTAATGGCATGTGTGTTTGGACAGTTCAAAATAAAATGTTCTGGAAAACCTTGTGTCCCTGAATAACAGCACAATTGTAGTGTAAATAGTTTTGAATAAACAGTCTATTTTTGTCTTGCATTTTTAGGATACTGAAACAGAAACTCCCCATGTAAGAAATATGAAAACGATAACTTCACGCCTGTTTATTTTAATGTAAAAAACGGCGACTTGTGAATTTAACAATGCTTTCAATGTTGACATTCAGCACTAAAAATACTAAAGCTGAAGGCTCTTCAGCCATAATAGATCATGTCATGTTTTAAAGCTAATTCATCTGTTTCTACTCTGCTGTTTGACAATTTGAAGAGTAAATTGTGTGTTGGTCTCGTGTTCAGGAGGGTTTGAGGCCTGGAGACACTACCAGCACTTTCTGTGGGACACCTAACTACATCGCCCCCGAAATCCTCCGCGGAGAGGACTATGGTGAGTGCAATTTATGACTGCGCAATCATCACATTTCAAATAGACACATAAAGGTGAATAAATGGTTAAAAAGTGCATTTCGTCTAATGTATGACTTTTTGAATTGCAGAAAAAAATATAATGTTTTAAATGGAAAAAAAAAAAATTCAGGCATCTCTAATGGTCAGCAATCAGTTTCATTTTACCACATTATATGAAAAAGTATTGATCTAATGTAGAAAAATGTAGCTAAATATTCTGATGGATTAGAATTCCTCCCGTGGACTAAAGTTACAGGTCTGTATGTTTTTGTCTTTAGCAAGAGTCCGTGCAAGCCTGGGCAGGAGTTTGACCACACATGCTTTGAGACGGATTTGTCTTAATTAACGTTACAATCTCCCATGGTCTGATGGTTTCAGTCAATCTAAGCTCAAAAAGGGGCCGTGGGCATTTATACTTTTCAAATTGAATTCTATAAAATGTAATGTGGAGACCTTGCTGCCAAGTTTTATTTGTGCAGGTTTGGTTTATAGCTCTTTCTTGGGTATCTGTGGGTATTTGTTTTATTTACCTTCAAGCAATATTTTGAACAAATTATTAGTTTTATGAAATGTTTTTTTTTTCTGAACAAAATGAGTACTGACCTGATTGGATTGAAAAAGAAGGCAGATGACCGCAGACTAAATTAAATGCATATTAATTCTTACTATTAGCATTTTCTATTAGCAGTTATAAGTGATGTATTATTTGTTTTAATGGGCGACGTTCAAACTTTAGAGACATTCGTGACTAATATGAACAAAAATAAAATTGAAAAAAGGATTCATTAAGCTCTGTCTAGACAAGTTCACGTCTAAATGTCTCAATTAAAAAATGAAATAACTCCGACTATTAGCAACTCTTTTTTTGTGTGAGAAATTGTAGTTATAGATTTTCAATGCAGGCCCACCTCAACCCATAAAGCCAGTATATGGAATTTTAGTATTTCAAACAGTTTCACACAAAAAAAAACTTTCAAAAATATAATTATTGAGGTGCCTGATTGTCAACAGAAATAACCGTAATATTTAATGTGACATTTGCAATGGGACTACTATGTTTTGAAGAGGCATAATGATCTTCCTGACTTGACTTCACCAAATCTGTACAAAAATGAGCGGGTTTGTATTTCCAATAGAGACTGAGTTGTATTTGTTTGCATTTGGCTCAGGCTTCAGTGTGGATTGGTGGGCTTTGGGGGTGCTCATGTTCGAGATGATGGCCGGACGATCTCCTTTTGATATCGTGGGCAGTTCAGACAACCCTGACCAGAACACAGAAGACTACCTCTTCCAAGGTAAGGAAGACTTCTCATTAGATCATAGCGCAGGGGTGTCCAAAGTTTCTAGTCAGAGAGCTTTAGTTCACCAGACTTGTCCAGGGGCCGACGACAAAGAATATAAAACTGTTCTGACTTGGTTTGGGCTGTTCTCAGCTTTTAAATGGGGTTTGATATGTCCATTTTGATTCATACAACAGACACATGAGGGCAAAAACAAATGTCCGTATATACAAATAAAGTCAATGCCTGGATTCAAAAGGTACTCGGCTTAACAATGAGGTAAAGCTTGACTATATTGGTGAACCTCAAGTTGGTTGGATGACACTGAAAATCATCCAAAGTCAGTTTGGATTGTCCTGATGGCTTCTTCCTTTTCCTCTCTGTGATGCTGCTGCTACAGAGTCATAGAACATCTTCAGGATTGGTCCCTGCGCTCCAAAAGACCTGAGCCTCCTCGGCAGGTAGAGGTGTGCCAAAATAACGATGTATCCATACAAAACATCAATGTAACTTCAGCACACAATAAGAAACTATAAATACATGCACAGTTTAAGCCAACACTTACATTTTCTGCAGCTTTCTTAACGACTGATTAATCCCAGACACGCAGCCACCATCTGTTCTCAGAAACGTGTGAATTTATTATCCATACCCAGTGGAGGACGAGAGTGTGCGTTATGCATTCTGCCTGTGCATGTCGTTAGAGGGAATGCCTGACAGTGATTGAGCGGTCTAAACATGTGACATTTAGTGTTTTGAGTGTAATAGTTGTTTTGTGTATTATATAAAAGGCCATTACTTTGACTTGATGCATTGATGCTGCTGTATAATTGGCTTCTAAGGTTGTTTTTTCTTCCTGTCGCTCCACATGCGTTCATGTAAACTCAACCTTTACAGGGCTTCTCTCAAACATTATCTTTCCAACATGTTGTTCAATGACCTTTACAGTTTGATTAACTTGGTATTTATGTATTTGTATTCATACAGTACTTGGTGGACTATTAAGCACACTTGTATATAAACCTCACCAGCTAATTTTTAAGAGAAAGTCCACATGTAGCGGCACTTATATATAAGCCGCAGGTTTTCATGTTGTCATGTGAGACAATTGTTTTATTTATTTATTTATTATACAAAGGAGGAACAGTACATTTTAATGAACATTTTCACAAATGTAAATATGCCAGATTATAGCCTTGGGCTAATGTCCATCTGCATACCCCCTGGCAGGTTGGTGTTACACAAAAGTTAGTAAGAACATACAGAGACACTATTTACAGACCATATACAGAGAGACAGAGACAAGACAGAGAAATAACCAGGTGTTTGAATCTATTTGACAATAGCCACGCTCTGACCATTGCCCTAATCACTTACAAACAAGTCCTGTGTATTTCCACAACACTTTGTGTCTTACTGCTGTTCACATAAACACACATAGAAGCAGGAATATGTTCTTAATCAGCTCTGGAAGCAACAGCTGATAGAGCTGTGTTCAAATCTGTTCCTCTGACAAAATGAAAATACATACATTTAAAGCACTTAAAGAACATAAATCTTCGTATTGTCCAGCGAGTACTGTGCATTTTGGAGCATGTACAGTCCTGTACATGAGCTTTGTGACGTACAGGACTGTAGCCAGTTATCGTCATCTAAATTGCGACACATTTTTTGAAATATTTGACAGCTAGTTTGTACTCAAAGAATTGATTTTTGAACGTTACATAGATGAGAAGAGAAAAGGTTTTACCACTCTGATCATTCTAGAATCGCAGAATGCGACAAATGTGGTTTGTAAAAATTAATCAATCAACCCAATTTGTTACCGGTCATCTCTATGAAGATATTCTCCAGGGACATCACTGCAGCTCTGCTTAGGTCAAATATATTTTTAAAAATCCATATTCACTGACCTTTCAGGATTTAAACAACTAATTGTTTCATAAAACAAACTGCTGAATTATCAAAAATATGTGTTAATTACAGCCAGAGTCATGTACAGTAGTTTTCTTTGTGGTCATAGATGTTTTAATAGATTTGTGTTGGTAATAGAATACTCAGAGACAATACACATCCCTCTAAGCTTTGCAGGAGGATTTTATCTTTGTTGCTTGTTTTGATGGGAGGCATGTTGGTTGTTTTGATGGGAGGAATGCAGCACCTGGAGGAAAACCGTCCCTGAAACGGGGAACAATGATGCGCCACACAAAAAAGACTGACCTTCCTTCTGTGACACTGCTGCACTCACTCAGCCATCGCTCTGCCAATTGTGTTCAAGAGAAAACCGATAACTACTGAATGATTTAAAGCATTTCAGAACATGTTTGTGAAGGTCTACACAACACAGAGATGAATCACAACATTTTTTATGTAATAAAGTATGTATTCATATAGCGCAATTCACACACCAAGGTCACACAAAGCGCTTTACAATTTGGTTCATTCTCCATTCTCTCCACACGGTGAAAATACAATATGATATATCTTGTTGCACACATTATTCAAGCACATATTATTGTACATATCAAAGAATTGTGTCAATGGACTGCTCCATCAATCGGAGGAAATTATTGATATAATGCTCGATTACTAAAATAACTTAACTGCAGCCCTAATGTTATGAGTATTGTATTTTTCCACAATCTCCCATCTGTAGATTCTCTGTGACTCGAATCCCTCCTATTTATCACGTACCTCCTCCTGCCATTGGTCTGATGAAGGCCTAGTTACTGAAGCGTTGCTCACATGTAAATACATATTCACCATAAAAGTACTGTGTGATAATGATGTGTGAAACATCTCTATACTACTGAATATAATTATCAAACTCATCATTTTCTCTACTTCTACATTTCCTCATTTAAAAGAGCTTTGTTACGCTTTTCTTGTTTATTTGCACCACCATGTTAGTGTTATTGCAATACATTGTGCCTTCAGATTCATGCATCTCCAAGAAAGCCAAATCATTTCCATGTCAGCTTTATTTGTATTGCACATTTACAGCCCCACCAGCTGCCCAAAGTGCTTCACCCGCACAAAAAAGAAAACCGCATGATAACAGGTTGTATCTATAGGAAACAGCGCTGGCAAACACAATATAGATATTTACACAGGGATAGTTACTGAGCACACCTTTTTAAACGCAACGTCAGTCCCCCCGAGTGCGACACAGCCCGGGTATTGTGGGATCTGAAAACATTCACCCAAGTCACCTTTCTAATTTTTGCAGGTGCAGTGTAATCGATGCAAAGCAGTAGATTTAATAAATGAGGGTCCCTTCTCTTAATTTGATCTCGCGGAAACGCAGATGGCGTGAAATGTGTTTGTGAAGCCTCTCGTGGTCCTCCATATGTTTACTGAGGTCAGCTGATCTACAAGATAAATCAAGTTTATTCTCCACGTGCTGCATATTAAACACAACTCGACTCCAGCACTATTTTCCCACAGAGCGCGGACGACAGCTCTGACCCCTGTCCGCAGTTTCCAATCATAAAATAAGTTGAAATGAAAAAAACTCATTCTCTTGTACTTTGTTTGATTTGTCGCATAGATAATTTTTTTGGCTGAAATGTTAGACCGTCATGAATCAATGCGTCCCCTCCTCTAACTCCAGCCCATAAACAGACTTCACACACTCCATCCTGTTACAGACAGAAGTCGGCCTTCTGTCTCCTTCCCCCTCTTCTATTGAACTTAACTATTTCCAATTTCATTTTCTTCTCACCGGTGATTCTTTCATCCATCTTTTTTCCTTCTTTATTTAGTAGTATAATACAAATACAAAACGTGAACATAAAAGAACAAACTAGATTAGACATTACAACTAACAACTACAAACTTATACAACAACAAAGATACATTGGGTGCACAAGAACAAACGCCATATCATTTTCACAGAGATCATCATAATTTTCTTTGTAAAAAAATATACTCTGCACTGTCTATTGTGTGTATTTATTAGGGCTGTCAAAATGATCGTATTAACGCAAGGTAATACAAAATCATTAATTTATTGCGTTAAATAAATTAACACATCTGACGCATGTACGGAATGACCCGTTTGACAATCGTTTGACAGCCCTAGTATTTAAATATATAAATCTTTATAAAGACTTGTTATGCATGCATTTATATCTATTTTCTTTATGTATGTTAATTCATTTCACCATATACCAAAGTAAATTTCTAGTTTTTGACTTCCTGTTCCTTACAATAGCAATACGACATTTTCTGATTCTAAATAGAAAAAAAGAAAAATACTAATTGTAGGTTCTTTCTGCTCTTTATTTCCTGCAAGTTAAACCTTTTGTTGATACAGTGCATTTTGAGAAACGGGAAATACTTTCAGTTGGCTCATTACCACATAGCAAAAACATGTTTTATTGACTTAAAACGGTCCGTGTACTTTTACGTTCAATACATTTTCTATTTTTGAAGGGAACTAGAAAATGCAATAATTAACCTTTTTTAAATATGTATTTAATAAATTTCGGCGTCAATCGATTACCCGGAAGTTAAACAAGTTTGTTTACTTCAGCCCTATTTGCTCTAATTTAGTATAATTTAGCAATGACCTCCAGTATTTGTCCAAACACAGACTGTGATAATACTAATCCCGAGAATCTGCATGTCAGTGATTGTGATCGTTATTGCCGCTTTCTCTTTACTTTCTGCGTTGTTTTTTGTCAATGAGCAGGAGTCTCATATCGCGACTGTGAACACAGCTGAGAAGTGTAGAGGACAGTGTAATGTGTTCACTGACACTAAATGATCAGACCGATGGGTTGCATTTGTACTTGGTAATATATCACAGACGTGTTGAATATATAGTCTATGGTTGATGTAGCCGTTACTGTTCGTTGGCTCGCACTTATCTTGGTGCGTTCACGAGTAGTCCATACAAATGATTATTAAACATTACAGACGGTATGGGCCAGAGAACTGTAGAGCAGTCAAATGTTTGTCCTCATGGTCTCTGTGGCTGCTGTGGTCAGACGTGATTCTCTGAACTGCGTGAAGCCGGGAGACCTGCGCACGTGCGGCCGTTATGTGAGACGTCAGTGAAAATAGTATTTTACAGATATTGCTTATCCCGTGTGAATGCACTGCAGAATCTCCACAGGTAATATTAATCCTGTGCGAGTAAACAAACTTGTTTCACTTCCGGGTAATCGATTGACGCCGAAATGTATTAAATACATATAAATAAATCAGGTTATTATAATATATATGTCTTATAAGCAATACATTTTTGTATATTGCTGTGTGCCTGAAAATGCAAAATAGTTTTTTTGATTTTCCATTTCCTTTCAAAAATAGAAAATGTATTAAACGCAAAAGTACACGGACCTAAAACCCTGTATCTTACACATTAAGCCACACAGGCTGGGGTGTTAAGACGACTCTCCATTTAACCCGCCTCACAAGGTAGCCAGGATGAACACTGAGACCAAATATGGTGGTCATTTCTACTGCAATAAACCTGTTTTACAGTGTCAGATGCTGTGCTTTAGAAAAATTTATTGGAAGTCAGAACCTTTTATTATGACCCAATATCCAGTACAACATATCTGTACATTTTGTTTTTGTGACTAGCCAATGTTCTAAAGATGTATCAAACATTTACAATTCATTGTACTTTTTATCTCATGCCATGTTTTACGGTTATGAATGCTTTACCTGCTTTGATGCAGGTAAAGCATTTCATTTTCAGGACCTTTTTCTAATTGAAAAGATATGTTTTGTTTTGAACTGCTTATCACCATGGAAACGGCCCTCATATTCCATCATTCTGAAACCCATTGATTAATTTATTGTGGATGAGTAGTTTAAGGGTGATGTCTGAAAAAAATTAACTCACCAAAATTGTTCAAAGCGACAGGGCTGCTATTGCTCCACGCTTTGGTTTTCTACCTCTGCTCTGTCCTCTCAGTCATCTCTCGCTCTCTTCTGTGTTGCAGTAATATTGGAAAAACAGATCAGAATCCCGCGCTCGCTGTCAGTCAAAGCCGCAAGTGTCCTCAAGGGATTCCTGAACAAGGTAAGAGGGTCAAAATCTGCCCCGATCCATCTCCACGGCCCTGCCCCCGAAAATGACTTCACTATTGAGGTCAACGCGTGCTCAGTCCACTCAGCCATTTTTCATCAATGAGTGCAGCACTTGTATTTATTTATAGTCAAGAAAAATGCAATGCAAGAACTGTACACACAATATGTTGTAGAAATTGGATGCTAAAATCTAACTAGTATTAAGTGAATTTTTCAGAGTATATTTTTAGCATTTTTTTTTTTCTTCACATCTTTTGTATATAATCTTTAACCAAATTAACATTACTCAAAGATAAAATGAACCAATAAAATCTCTCTCAGGATCCAAAGGAGCGGCTCGGCTGTCACCCACAGACCGGCTTCGCAGACATCCAGGCTCACCCCTTCTTCAGAAACGTGGACTGGGACCTCGTAAGTGACTCTTTTGGGTGAAATATCTCCTCAGTAACGTAACATTCCAGGTCATTCTGCAAGACCAACAAAGTGAAGGCACTCAAGGTATTCCATTTAGTTTAACGTTTTAGTTTTCTATAAGTTTTACATTCTTAAAGGCTATGTTTAAGGTATACTCTAGTTGACTCTACTCTACTGTACTTTGGCAAAAGGGTTTTGTCAGATACTTGCTGTTAGCTACCGTCTGCTTTGCACTGCGCTCAGTCCTGGAGCCATTCTTTCAATCCACAAAACGTGTGTGTGCGTGTGTGTGTGCGTGTGTGTGTGTGTGTGCGTGCGTGTACTTACTTGCTCCATTCAGCCACTTTCTGTCCCAGAGCGCAGCGGAGGTTAGTGAAGGTTTTAAGTGGAGAAATGTTTCTGTCACAGTGGTTTTGAGGCTGTCACATGCACATAAGCAGGATACCATTTATATGACGTGCACATTTGACAGTCACACGGTGCGCAAAGTAGACCATTAGGAACCATTTTTGGGGCTATTTTAGCACACTGACATTTGTGCATTGTTGCACGTCTACTACAAAGTAACCTGACTCAAATCTATTTGAGTCTTTCTTGGATAATGAGCATGTCAAACTTGACACACAAATTATTACCACTAACAAACATTCCCCTATTTTTAGTTTTTGTCACAGTTTACTTCACAAAAGTCCAACTCATCACAACAGGGAAAAGGCAGATGGCTAATGTTCTTCTCCATAATGTCATAACTATTTGTCCGTCTGCCACCAACGACATCACAAGTTTATTTTAAATCTGCTTGATTCAAACCTTAGCAAGGTTGAAGAATTTACAGTAATCAGCCATAACATTGTGCCTGATTACGTGATTAGTGAGCGGCAATACTTAGTCTTTAATATATTATAAAAAGGTCCATAAATGAATACTTAGTTGCACATATGCACAGTAATTTCATTGAACATTTTAGGCGTGTTTTTGTATTTTTATGTAATAGAGTAAAATATATTTTCCCAACACCGCAGCTCCATAAACCCTTATGTATGTAGTGAGTAATGAACTGTTCATGTAAAGTAATTACTAGTTAGTCATTGTATTTGGTAGAATTGTCAGAGCTGCTCTCTCTTGAACCAGCGCTCTCTTTGTCTTGTTGATTGCTTTTTCATACGCAACATTCATCATCCCTGCTCTCATTTTTAATCATCTCACACGGGCAGAGTCGGTCGTGCTGCGCGCCGGCTGCCAAAAAGGTCACCAAAAATCCATGAATTGATTTTTAGTTTTTTCTTTTAAGCAAAGAAATACTCAGTTCTCGTAGACACAGGGTCAAATCAAAAGTGCATGTGGTCGGCTTCCTGCCTTCGATGCAAAGTCGGAGAAAGGTTAAAGGAACAGAAAAACAAAGGTTTCACTGAAGTCACGTGATCCGACGTTGAGGAAGTGTAGACGAGCGCTGACCCCAAATGCTTCCTGTTCACTGGAGGTTGTTTGGAGCGAGCGTTTAAAGGTGAAATTAAATATTGATATCCTGAAGATATGCACGGCGAAGGGAATGTCAGTCATGGATTTTTAAAAGCAGCTTCCATCATATTGCATTTAAAGAAGAAATAACAAGCATTATTTTGGACATTAAAATGATGAGACTATTTACTTTCTTACTTGATGTTTTGGAAAGTAAAATGATATACAAAGTAGAAAATATTTTGGTATGATGGATAAAGAAAATGCTTTCAGTCTGTTTCACCCTATGCTACCACCAGAGGGAGGAGTTGAATTTTAGTTTTTAGTTTATTTTTATTTTTTTAAGTGACTACAAATCCAGCCATGTGATTGTAAAGAACTTCATTAAGAAATTTACAAAACTAATTTATAGCTTATATCTGCTTACAGTGGTGTATGAATGTGTGTGTAAACAGAAGAATCGCTTTGGGTGCCTTGGAAAGATAGATTAGAACTATAAATTACTTTTTACCATTTAACAGTTTACAGCTGTAGAACAAATACAGACTTGACCTATATCGCTGTGTAATTAGTGTGTTGTGAATCATTTTGTGAGTTGAATTACAGAAGGTAAAGGACTTTTGAGTGACATTCTGAATTTACAAGTTTCACCTGTTTATTGTTATAGAATTACGTATGTATTAGTTTTGTTTGTTTGGAAGGATGTGTTTATGCTGCTACTGGACACCTGAATTTCTCCTATCAATAAAGCATCTCTATCTAAAAATCAATTTGAGAAATTACAATCAGAATTTCCAATTTGTTCCTATCTGCAAAGTATGCAAGTCATTTACCCCAATCATTTAGCCACAAATGTGATTACAGCCCCATTTAGACAGAGACGCAAATAGCAAAAGGCTCCTTTTTCGAAGTGCACACGATCTTCACCACAATGGAAAACAATGTAGTTCTGGCACCCGGCCAGTAGTGGGCAGTGGAACGTTACAGCACTACACGCATGAGCCCCAGCATTATAATCACTTCCTCAACAACATCCTCCTCAGGCCACTGTGAAGATGTGAAAGAATGCACCAACATCATTCTGCATTTAACGGCAGCAGCGAAAATGAAAACTGAAACTAGAGCTTTGCATGGTTTTGTTTGGATGAACGAAGGAGTAGAACGTTTACGTTTGTTCTCGGCTACTGTGCATATCCAAATGTACGTGCGAGGAAGTGGTGAGGTCATAGTAGGCAGAGAATTCACTGTGAAACAGCCAGGCAGTGTATCTGCTCTGTTCCACTCTGGAGGCTGTTTCTCTTCGCTTACGTTTTCACCCCCCTGAAACACTGTCTTCATGTAAACGGAGGGCCAAACCGACACCCAACTCTACCGTTTTACCTTTGTAGCGTCTCCGTGTAAACACAACCAACATCTCATTGTATATACCTGAAAATGAAAAAATAAACGTTCTTTTTAATTCAGTTCCAAACATCCACCACCTGTTTTTCTCCCTTGAGGAGTTCTTACTCTTCTGAGAATGTTCCACAGTATTAAACCTATCCACCTCCAGGAACACAAGCAGCTGGGGTTTAGTTTAATGTTAGTCCCACTGGGTGATCTTCAGATCAGGCTCCTACTTCTTTCCTCTGACGGTTTAAAATAATTTTGACCTAGACTGACATTCACCCTCTGGTTGTTATGTCTGCTGCTCTGCTTGTTATCTGACCTGTCCCTCAGAGTCTGGACGGTGGAGTGGGGGGGAGTGGGGGGGTCTGGGACATGAACCCGGAGGTCGTTCAGTCGGAGCGTCTGGAGGATCGGCTTACACCCCTCACTCCTCTTCCCCCTTGCCCCTCTCTCTCTCTCTCTCTCCATCATGTTCACACAGCCCTAAATGGATTAAAACGGTTCTGACCTGGAGGACGCACATTCGATGGGAAGGAATGCATGGTGTTATTGTGGCGGTCTGGAGAGGCTGTGAGCAGACATATCCAAAAATGGGGAAGAAATTTCGTATACTTTTGAAATTATATTACAGTAGCTTGAGAAATGTAAGTAGCCTTAAGCCCATGCAGAGTCTTTCGAGTCATACCTAGACTTTCTTAAACTCGAAGAATGCAAAATTAAATGTAAGCTGTATGTAGTTTTGTCATTTACTAATAAAGCAGTTGTCCAGACATACAACCAGCAGCACATTGTCGTTTTGTGAACAGCCAGTGCCTTCTACAATTTGACAATTGTGATCAGATGTAGGAGGGGCTGAGACGGGTGCATTTGTCACCAGTTCCTCGAGGACCAATCGCACAACACAACCAATCACAGATCACAAAACTGGGAACACGGAATAAACCTCCCCCCTGTCATTCCTTCTCATTTTTATTGACCTTTTGTGGCATGAAATTTTCCAAAAGTGGCAGTAAAACGTCTTCAAAAGGGATTGAAGGGAAGTAAGATTTCAAAGGCAAGTTTATTTGTATGGCACAGTTCATACATTGCCCCTTTTGGACCAATATGTTTTCTATGTTATTTTCTTTGATTCTCTGATCTGTGTTGGCAAATTCAACGGTTGTGTAAAGTCGTCCGAGATAACTACTCTTGCAATTTTCTTACAAGAATGCATGGAATTGAAATTGAATTGAATTTGATTGTTGGTTCCCAGCACAAACAACACAACCAGAGCTTCACAATGTTAACATGTTTCATACCAAGAAAAAAAATATGCTAGGCCATCAGCGTGTGCCGCATCACCAGTAGATGAGAAAGTTGAAATGTACTTCTATTGCGTCTGTTGTAATGAGTCAGTTTCACATAAAAGTCCAAAAGATCCATAGAGTTTTTGGTTGAAAAATGTGTTTTGTTGTGTATTTGCAGTTGGAGCATAAACAGGTGGTGCCTCCCTTCAAACCCAACATCTCAGGAGAATTCGGTCTGGACAACTTCGACGCACAGTTCACCAACGAACCCATCCAGCTCACGCCGGACGACGAGTACGTTAATAACTTCATAATAACATATTTTAATAACACACATTTTAATTTCACTGTAAATGTGACAGTATGGAAAAGCCCGGACGTGCACCTGAGTATGTACATAGTGTTACTCTTGGATTGGACAAAAAAAACACATTTAGATTCATGCTTTTAAAGGTGGATTATCTCATTTTTGTTTTCTTTCATGAATCTGTTGATTGTTTAAGTAACGAACATAACATGCTGACATTATCTTTTGTTTTTTATAAGCAGATTTTTTTTTTTTTTATAAACATTTGACATATACAAACCTACATCAATGCGACAGATAGACAGACATTCAGAAATTATCTTTATTAGAAAACGTGTTCATGTTGTTTCATACTCAGAGCTGATTGGCCGATAGACGGTGGTGCTGTGTTTTTCTAAAGACGTGACAGAAGCCAAAAATACTTGGAGAATACATAGTGATGGAATCAAACTGTTTAGAGAGCAAGGAACTTCTTAAGTGGACATTGATACATAGTTAAATGTGTGTGTTTTCAAAGTTAGGTGCCCCAGCTTTACATATTATCTTGTTTTGATCATTGGTATACAGAAGAGTTATTATTATTGTTAATCTCTTTAACTATGCATTCTTCAATTCCACTTTTTGTATTTAAAAACTTAGCATCTCCTCATTTAGAAATATTGTGATTAACTTTAAAAACAGAACATGGTCAAATAAATCCATGCAATAGATTTCAAAACATCCATTTAAACAATTCAATTCCATTCTTTATTTATAAAACATTAACAAAAGTCCATACACTAATTCCTATGATTTGTAAGTGCTTTGTAAAAGGGAACAAATATATCAACAGTAATATTTTTACAAAACTGTATTCATGAGAAGTGGTGAAGAAGTATTGGAGCGAGCAGTGGGAGATAAGCGTAGGATCGGAGAGTGTTTTGGGCCTGTTTCTTGAATTAAACCACTTGATTGGTTGATAAAACTTATCTAACGTGCTCGATGTCTGCGTCTTACTTTAACACGTTTGCACATTTCCTGTCGTTTGCACATTTCCTGTCCTTTTCACACCCCGAGTGATCTTTATTGATACCAAATGTAACATGTACATTTCCCCACTGCGAGAGTAATAAAGTTTTATCTTATCTTTCCAGTGATGTGGTGAAGAAGATCGACCAGTCTGAGTTTGAAGGCTTCGAGTACATAAACCCTCTGTTGATGTCGGCGGAGGAGTGCGTGTGACCGTGCCGTCGCCAACAGACAATCTCTCCACACGCCTCGACTCCGCTGCATGTTTTTACAAGACTCTCACGAACAATTCTGCTGCTTTTCGTCTGTTTTTGTTTTTTGCCAAATCCAGTCTCTCACTCTGCCATTCGCAAAACCACTCTGCCCTTAAACAACTATCTTCTTTTTCAAATTCTTATTTTTGTATCTTGTAAACTGCACTGACATGTCATAGGGGCCTCTTGAGCGGTTAGCCTCCGAGCTGCTAACTCCCGGTTCTTCCTCGTTGCCGAAAAAATGGCGGGAGGTGAAAATGCTCGATGCCTGGACTTGAGGAGCCAATCTTCCAGCTGGTGACTTGTATTTTCGATGCATATTTTTAAAATAAACTGTACATATTTCGCTATATTGAACAATATTAAGAACGGTAGAAAAGGCTTTTTAGCGTCGCGGTACAAGTCAAGACAACAGTACGTTGCTAGTTTCACACATGCACTAAAAACAGATCAAACGTATTTGTTTTTTACTTGCTGTGAATTTCCAAAGGTAACGGCGGGTTTCATAATGTAACATTTGCCCTAAAAAAATACTGAACTTAAGCTAAATATTGCCAGTTCGTCATCGCAATAATGCTTGAAAACCTCTACTAGTCTCACGTGGGTAACAGTGTAGATGTCTTACCCTTCATACTTGTTTGTTCGTATATTTTCTACTTAAGATATATTTTTTCACATTCTAAAACATGAAATGATAAAGTCCCATCATTTTTAGTAGCCAAAACGTAGGCATCATATTTCTTCTTTGAAGCAGAACTGTGCAACTTTCTGGTGGAGGGCGTGCTACTCGCGTCTCTGATTTTTATTCTAAGAGTTACATTAGGAAATGAATTTAATAATATATGTCATATTCTATGAAGTACTAGTAACATTGATTGTATTGGACTAGCTTGACTATCAGACTCTGGTCTACAGACAAAAATCAGTGTGCTGAAAAAATATGAATGAAATATATTCAAATAATAAATATGCAAAACAAATTGTAAAGAGCATATTTATCATTAAAAATAACTATTTGATTTGTATTTTGTGCATGTGTGAAAGGGGCAGGCATCTCATCATATTGGACTTTCCTTTTCTGTTGATGCAATCACACTAATGTTTAGAATATATAATTATGAAATTTTGTATATTTAACAAGCGGTAACAATATATTTTCAGAGTGGGTTAACACTACCAAAAAAGTGCTAGTAACGTACGACGGTTTTAGACGCGATACTATGATCACCTTCTGGCTAACAGAGGTTGTCCCTTGTTGAAGGAGCTAGCACTATTTGTAACAATAGCATTGCTAATTTAGACTGTGAATCCAAGGCTGGAGGTGTACATGCATTACATCACATTACACAAATACGCAGGACCAAAAAGAAGGTACTCTCTAAGGTACAGTATAAGGAAGTTGTCCTCACACGATTATATATTATTCTTATTTTCTATTATTTTATTATAATTTGCCTTTTCTGAAATGTTTTGTATTGTTTCCATTCCATGTATGTTTTTGAGATCATTGTCCAAAGCCATCACAAAGAAGAATAGTTTCCAAATACATTTTTGTGTGATGGTGCGTTTAACAAGCTGGAAACTAAACTCAAAACAAACTTTGGGCCCTTTCATCAACTTATTCTGTTACTTTGTGAAAAAAAAATTCGAATCATTCTATATTATGTTGATTACAAGCTGTTACTGGGTGTGCCCATAAAAATATGTATTTTGGGTCTGGCCACGGCTCACAGGACTCAAACCTTTGTTATTAGTGTAAAAAACACAGTAAAATAAACATTTTATTTCTTATTCTCTGGTAATGATTTCTCTGTTGAATAACGGAAAACAACAGCATTGAGTTTCAAATAGACATTTCTTCTGAACATGACATGTTCATAAACATGACAGTGTTATTCTAAAGCTAGGGTACTTGGTTTTCAAATTAGAAAAAGGAAATGGGAAGTCAACATTTTATTTTGTTTGTAGATGTTACTCATGCACCAATACAGATATTCAATCCTATTTATTTAAACACAATTCTTTAAACAACACTGTTTCTAAAGTGCTACACTGTTAATACATAAGTAAAATGAATAATGACATGTGAGGCATCACTCTTTACTCGGTGGTGACTAACTGCTGCTGTACTGTAGCCACAGCTGCCCTTGGGTACACTGACAGAAGGGAGGCTACAATACAATACTTTACAATTTATTCTTGTATAGCCCTAAAACACAACAGCAGTCATCTCAGAGGACTTAACAAAACCATTGAAATCACCAACACAGACCAGAGAATCAACACAAAAACACATGTTTTGGTCCATAGGGAGAGACCAATGTCCATGAATGTTGATAAATGTCCATACATGTTGTAGAATGTTAAGGTGTCCTGGATCATCACCACAGTCCTCACAAAAACCCAGTGGGAAAAAATGAGAAAGAGAGGGATCCGCACCTATGGACAAAAATGTCATTTGCCCCTCAGACCACCACAGACCATTCACGAACACACTTCACTCATTCTAGGCAATGTGGGTGAAGTGTCTTGCCTAAGGACACAACACAGTTTGCCACATTGCATCTGCAGCTGCCCCATTGTGGCACCTGGTGATCCCAAAGGTCTCCCATCACAGTACTAACCAGGTCCAGCCCTACACCGCTTCAGAGGTCTGACGGGGATTTGGCCTTCACATGCAAGTAGGGCCATATTAATATTCAATTCAATAAATAATTCTGGGAGATACATTTCTCAAGATTAATTTCTCACCGCAGCCTTCACCCGCCAATGGTCATAATGCTTGACATGTGTGTAATGTGTGAATATTAATAACGTCAAATAACGCACTTATATCATATCATTATAATCACTGAAGTGACTCTTGGTTTCCTCAGAGGTGGTGTTGAAAACCCCAATTATCACAGCGGTGTTGCGTTCAAGTGTACGATAAATGTAATTGTGCCATGGAAAGAACCTTAAATTAGTGTATGTTTTACAAAGGGCCAGCGCTTAGTAGTACGTCTACTATTCATGCTAATTAGTCCCTCAAGAAAACTGCTTTCTCTTGCATAATTCGCAATGTTAATTACACCAGGGTAGACTTCTGCCCTGGGAGAGGAGCGGTGAGTGGTCCTGCCTGGGGATGGAAAGCCAACCAAAGTGGGGGAGGCGCTTTTACCCCCATCCCATAACCGTGAGGACGCGCGAACAATGTCAAAGTAGTCGTCTTGGGAATTCCGTTTCACGCAAAAGGAATTTATCTACGTCCTATGGCTCACAATGGAGGATTTGTCATACACGAAGGGTAATTCTGAACCAAATAGGATTCAATTAAGACCATATACAGCGGTTTGGGGCGTTGGATGTGCTGTGAGCCGTGACAAAGTGCGCATGTGCGTGGTCGCGTGCGCACAAATCAATCCGTTTTGATGGTTTTTGGCAGTTCATGATTCCTTTGACCTTTTTGCCACCTCTGAATGCTGAGGATAGTGGGGTCTATGTGGGGTCTATGGCCTTTTTCACCCCCTCCCAGGACGTCGCAATAAGCAGCAGTTGGAGAGGAGCGTATTTAGAGGCTTAACAGCTCTAAATCCTCCATCTCTAGACGAGCCGCTCTCTGCAGCTCTGTCACTGTAATAAAACCGTCAGAGGCCGTAATGGACGATCCAGGCCCGGGCAGAAGCACTCGGGGTCTGCTTCTCTTTGCTCTATGGCTCAGGTTTAGAAATCCTCTCAATAGGGCGACCAGAGAAATTGTATGACTTCTTCTAGATACAAGCCTCGTCAATTCATTAGGCCAGTGTTTCCCAACCAGGGGTACGCGGCCGGGGGTGTCGCTGATGGTAGTTGAAATAATTGATAGTAAGCTGTGAATATGGGCTTCTATGGCATACATAATAGTTCTTATAGCACAAACATGTATCTATGAAAACGTAAGGAAAACCCAGCTTTAAAATGTGTTCCATTCAGCTAAATGAGTTTGTGTTTAGTGTTAAAAAAAAGAGGACAAAGTTGTCGATTTCTCAACGACAGATCAGAGAATCAAACGTTCAAACACAGGAAATGTAATAAGAACAAACACATTCATTAGGAGTCATTGGCCCAAAGAGGGAGGCGACCAATGACCATAAATTACCATAAATGTCCTTAAATGTGCTTAAATTACTTCAAAATTGGTAAGTGAAAAACAGACACAGGTGAATATTTGATTAAAAGGTTTCAACTTTTTACTTTCTCTTCTGGATAGTTCTAATACTTGCACTGAAATCCCCTGTCACATGTGTTTATCCACTCTCCCTTAGTGATAACGAAAGGTTTAATAGAGGCTTGCGGTGAACCTTGAGCTTTTATGTTGTGCCTTTACGACATGAGGCTTCTTTCTTGAACTTTTGATCCTTAACAGAGACAACTATAGCAACACCGTTTTCATATTCTACATCTATGCTCTTCTATTCCTTCTGAGCCTTTTATGCTTCTATGGAATGCATTGATGGTGGAACAGACAACCACAAACGCCTTCTCGCTGAAATGCACCTCGATGTCAAACCGTTGTTATTATCTGGAATAATCAGTGTAAGTTTAAAGCCAAAGGCAACATTCACAAAACGTCATGTTACAAGTTTCCTGTCGATACAATCCACTTCTGACAACTGGATCTATTGACTAACACAGACATCAAAGAGGTAATGGGGAAACAACCGATTTACTCAATATGTCAGACATGTCGAGCCCGTTGTAATGTGATATTGTGAGAATCCGTACAAAAAGCACTCTTTTACTATTGTGCTTCACCAAATTATTCGTGCACACATGGTCTTTTAGTGATGTTTATCAGGGAACATGTCCAATTGGCTATATATACAGAAAGTAGAGTAATGCATTGAAACTAAAGGATTTCTCAGGACTTATTACTCAAATATTCTTGCACTGATTTACACTGTGTAAGTTTATATATATATTTGTACTAGAGCAGAGTAA